CCTCTTTAATGGATTATTTTCAAAATCACTAAATCCGTATCCATTTATTTCACTTTTTATAGAAAAAGGGTGACAAACGAGCACACACTTCACCTGATGGTAAGTGGATGCTGTGGTCCATAGACATATTTATCCTCAATGAAGAATCAAAATGCAGATGCGTTGTCACCCTAAGGACTAAGATGGAATGCCTTGTTTATAATAATGTCTCCGGTTCTCTACACTCACCATAAGAAACACAACAACATTACGCTGCTATTTTACGCTGGTATTCTGTGAGAGAGCGCCGTGGTAGTTCAGATGATTAGTGCTCGTTGTAGATTTCACACAGTACGCGAGCAAACCGCGTAGATTCCGCGGCGGCATCAATGAAATTGTTAATTGCAATTTTAAGTGCTGATTTACCACGTGCTCGGCGGTGAAGGAAAACATCGTGAGGAAATCTGCATGTCTGAGAAATAAGAAATAAGAAAAAATATTTAGAAGACATGTGGTGTTTGCCAACACGCAAACGATCGGTGGACAATTCCTCGCCGTAAAACCCTCTCAGAAATGAGCTGAAGCCTGTGCCCAGGAGTGGGACGTACATAGGCTGTAACTTTAACTTTTTATTCTGAGAGAGCGTAGTCCTACCCCGGTCGAACCTACCTAATCCATTCGTGCTGCAATCATAATACAGCTGCAGCGTGACTCTAACACGTAATATAGAGATTACCTTTAGTAAGTTTCAAGTCAATCGCCCCGTAAAATAATAAGTTTCATACAAACAGTATCACCCTATTTCTGCTTTGCTTTTATGCTGCGTTACACATACTACATAGTAGTTTTGCACATTTAAATTATTTAGTTTAGTTCAAATAGGACCCCAATTTCTTTTTTGCCCCGGGGCCCTTGGCTGCATAGCTATGCCTCTGAACAGCAGGTCCAGCTATGGGACCCACAAGGTGTAAAAAATGCCCCTGGATTTTTAGTGCACCTACCATATTCGCACCACTGTCGTATCCTTGACCACGACAGTCTTGAATATTCAAGCCATTTTTGCTAACTCCCCTAGTATTGCATTATTAAAATATTCTTCTGTCGTGTAAATACGATTATAAATATATATAACCACAAATAACCTAAATTATATACTCGATACCTGATACATATCATACGTAATTTTTAAATACCTAATATATAATGAAAACATTTTAAGCATACTTACATACGAACATATTAAACCTACAAAATCAACTTAAATACGTAATTTATTATATCGAGCCATACGTAAGCAGAAATATTTAAATAAGTAAGTTAGCTCCCAATTCTAGCTTCCTAATAACTAACTAATTCCTAAGAAACTAAAGTACAAATAATACATAAATACCTAACGTCTAATTTTGTAGAAAAAAACGTAATGTATAATTCCTTACCTTATATTGAACGCAGGTACAGTTGTTTTTCTTTACATCACATACAAAAATCGATAATTGAGCTATTAATAGGAACTAGGTACCTATTATTTAATAAGTGTTCAGCGTTTCTAAAAAATGAACCTCGCTTATTTATTCTTACATTGAATGCTGTCACACAAATATTATAGAATATCACATAAGCACGCAACAAGACTGCGTGTGATAGGTATAGATCTACTTTTATTGGCTTTCTGAAAGTTGACAAGCATAGTTCACTTCGAACATACAACGCGAAAATATACCTACAGCCACAAAATAAATAATAGTACTACGCTACAGCAGCCATGCGAGCCGCTGGAGCGCACTCTTCACTCGATTGCCATGCATCCACGAAAAAGTCAGTATTCTATGTCTAAACAAACAGAACCGGGAATTCTCAGCCTTTGTCGCCCCGCAGCGGGGCTTCTCCGCGATAAGAACCCAAACTAATGTTGCTAGACAGAATAAAAACATAATTAATTATGTCAATACTATCGATTCATGACATGTAAATTTTTTCAGCGTGTTCACGGTTTTAAGTAACGCATAAACCTCCAGGGCGCGAGACCCCCGGATCGCGAGGCCGGAGGCGGTGGCCTACGTTGCCCACGCCTTACGCCGCTTCTGGGTGATACTTACCCAGACGAACTCTAAAGTTCACACAAAAACTTGCAATACAAAGTCAAAATCAAAGTAAGAAATTGATAATATAAAGTCGCTGAGACTCGCTGTTCTTAAAAATTTCTTAGTTATTAACACACATACAGACACACGCACATACACACACACGCACACGCACGCACGCACACACACACACACACCAACATTCACGCACGCACGCACGCACGCACGCACGCACGCACGCACACACACACACACACACACACACACACACACACACACACACGCACGCACTCACACGCACACGCGCACGCACGACACGCACGCGCGCACGCACTCGAACACGCACACGCACACGCACTCGCACACGCACACGCACGCACACGCACACGCACACACATATATAATGTTAATGACTAAAACCAAGCTGCGATGGGAAACGTGTACTAAAAAGGCATTAAACAAGACTACGATGTCAATTTCCTAGAATTAATTTATTGTAAAAATGTGAGCTCTCGTTAAAGATATTTGCCTTGAAGTGAATCGTAAGGTGGGTTCAATATGTATGCAAGCTATAGAAGAGCAGGTTTAAGTAAAAGAAAATTACAAAATGAATTGTATGGCGACTATATTCAACATGTACCTCTCGACGTTTCATGTACCTACTTAGAACCCAATGTTATGAGCTTATTGCAACAATCCAATATATGTCGTATCAATCCAATATATAGAGAATTAAATTTACAGTGTTTAAAATTCATGCAGTGTGTAAAAAGAGTTTGGATTAATTTTGATTACTATTATAATTTCAAACAGAAAGCAGCACGCATTTATCTACTTAATTGGAAAAACTTTTATTTTATTTTAATAGCTTGATGAATCACAAGCCCCCTTGTTACGAATTGGTTCTATTCATAATACTGTTTTCAATAAAAATTTACAAAATTTCTTATTTACAAAAAAGCATAGGGGGGAGGGGGGGAGATAAAATTAAACGCAATTTATCAGTAAATTAGTTTTATTCAATGTGTGATTTTCGCTTAAATAAATATGATTATAATATAATCGGTAATGGTAAATGTAAATAAAACTATTTATTGTATATAAGTAATAGTTTTATTAGAAATTAAAAACAAAAATCCTTATACTACCTAAATAAGGCACGACGTGACCAATCCAATACAGAACACGACGACATTATTTCACAAAGCGATGCGAATGCTAAAATATTTTGTATATATATGAATTTATATAAAAATCAGTCACTGCACAGAGATTTATCAAAACAGTTATGCAATTTAGAAAAATTGGGTCCATTATATCACTAGACTATTTAGGTTTGACGGAATATTTTCATTCGCATAAGCTGTGCAAGTGCAATTATTTTGATATATAAGGTTATCTTTTATAATTTGTCAAAAGCCTGAACTCTTCAGCATAATGCAGTTTTTTTAAAAGAGTACGATATATTTTGTCAACTTATTCGATTTGATTATATTTTAATGCTCATAGATTATTGAAACGGAGTATACATCCGATTACATTTATTAGATTTTATATCAACTGTAGTTGACTGTTGTAAATATTTTATAAAGTTATTTTAAGTTATTTCGATAGATTAAAAAAGCAAGAATAGACATTATAGTATAAGGCTTATTGCTATTTAATAGGATATGATCAATAGTACAGGTCTGTTAGTAAGTGGATATGTGACATAAGACAGCAGAACTCTTAGAGGATTGAAAATTATTAATACAGTTATAACGAACTTTACATAATATACAAAAATTTATTGATAAGTTTACATATACATTAAATTTTACACCTATTGTAATAAGGACAAGTGCCTATGAAGATATTTTGTAGGTATGTAACACCATGCTATTTTTATATTTCATATTTTGTTACAAAATGTGTGTTATTTGTGCGTATGTTACAATATTGGTGTTTAAGAATGTTTTTGTTATATCTAAAGCAATATTATAATATATATAGTACACATACCTAAACGATTACAAATCTCTATTCAAAATGCAAAAATGTCTTACTCCAAAATAAATTAATAACTTTGAAGTTAGCCTTACATAATTACACACTAAATTTGTAAATAACATAGCAATAATATTTAATTTGTATCACTTTGTACCAAATTATGTTTCAGGTGAAAATTTTGGAATTCTTGCTGAAAGTTTAGATAGATAGTTTTAGAGAGCGTAAGTAACTGAAAAGATTAAAGGCTGAAATACGTGGGCTTTTCGTGTGTCGAAAAGTTGAATTTCTTAGCCTCTTATGAGGACATGAACAAAATTTTCACAAGAAAAATTTTGAATGTCTGTGACAAATAAATTGTTGAATTTAATTGTAGTAAACATACGGATTTGTTTGGACACACAAGCTTGTAGTGCAAAAAAATCTTTTGTTTAAAATAATTGAATTATTTTTGAATATATTTAAGAGTTATTGTCGAATCTCGAATATAAAAGTATAAAATAATGCACGTTTTGAATATTTTATGGTTTAGATATATCTATCTTTTCTGTGGCCTTAATAATGGATTAAAAATCCCTAAAGACAAAACACAATTTCCTAGCGACCAAAACAGGAAAGAATCTGAAGAATGTTTTTTCTTTTTAAAATATTGCAAATATACGTGTACTCTTGTTAAAAATACACATTTCAGTTTTGGCCACATTTTTTATCTCTATGGAAAATTGTCACGGAAAGAAACCACAGACAGATAAAGTACAATACTGTCAGCAATACATAATATGCCATTTTTAACAATAAATATTAAAAACTATAGCATAAAGCTGTGTAAAAAATTCTAAAAGACACCGAGTTTCGTTAATCAGTCAGTTGTTATAATAATGCTAAATTTTGTTTAGTTAATAATAATACAGTTAGTTGGGGCCATTTCGCCCAGAATGTTGGCACAAAGGTTGGTCAGTAATGGTCGACGTCTGCTGTAGGCGCGACCGAGTATACCGATGGCGGTCTGTAATACACAAAAAGTAACACAAAATATGAATCAAAATGTAATCTATGTTATTATAACAGTAGTAACAAAATTATCTATGGTTGGTTGGTGTTAACGTGTTGTCGTGACGTTAAAGAATCCAATCATATATTGTGGTGTGAGAGTGATATAAAGGAGAGATTTAAGTTGAACGGACGAAAAAAAAAAATGTTTCAAACACTGTTTTCTGTCAATGTATCAAAAAGCGTTTGCATAGTCAAAGAAGATGTAGCGAAATATGTTTGACAGTTTATTGTACCTTACATATTTTAACTATATTATGGGTATGGTCCGAAATACAACGCAGTGTACTGTCCAATGCAAATGACGTCATGAATCGACGCTATACTGGTGATTCGTTCCAAAACATTTAACAGTATATGACGTCATACTTTTGCGCCATTTGGAAAAGTGTTGGCGATTATTTTGTCATTTTGTGCTCCAAAAATCATTATATCCTCCTAATGGATATACCATCAATTATTCTATAATTTTTTGTATTTGAATAAATAGTAACAAATTCTGACATGCTACATTCGGCAAATACACAATTAAAAATTGTTTTATTATGGCCGGATATCCGACACAATATGGCGGCGGCACGCTAGTACAATAAAGTGTCAAATTATGACGTCATTTGCATTGGACAGTACACTGCGTTGTATTTCGGAACATACCCTATATCTTTATAACTACAGAAACAAAATGTTTGAAAACAAATTTGTAGAAATATTGTCATGTTAAAATATAAATTTGAATATCTGTTAAAAATTTTACACAGTTTATGTGAGTACGAACGCCACCATCAACAAAACATATTTTGTGATTTATTTTCTGTGATTTGTTTCAAAACATTGCGTGTTGAATGTTTCTCAGTGCAAACGTACTGATGATAACTACTCAAAATAATAATAAAACAGTACCTATGTTTAGAAGCATTCTTTTAATAGGCTATAATGAATAAATCAAAATCTATGGTTGAAGATTTCAAGAAGATTATGAATTGATAAGCGCTGTTGCTTTTGAGGATGGAGATAGAATATAGTAATACTACACTACAAGAAAGTTATTTAATCATGAAAGTTAAAGTTACAGTCTATATACATCCTCTCTTACTCTTAAGATATTATAAAATGTGTAATTAGATCATAATACGTAACGCACGCTACTAATATCATAACAATCATCATCATCATCACAGTCCACCACAAGTTCACTGTCTACTGTAGAAACATCTAGAATTTCGACGACTCCGTGGCGCAGTGGCTTAGCAATGAGTGGCTGCGCTGGGGGTCGCGGGTTCGAATCCCGCACGGAACAAGTATTTGTATGGCCTACATATAGTTGTTCCGGGTCTGGATGTTTGTCCTTGTGCAATCTATGTTTGTAAACTGCCCCCACGATACAAGAGAAAATCTTAGTGTAGGGGTAACGTTTTTAAAAAAAAAAAAAGAATGATCGAGTACATACGATTGACTAGGAGTCGGTAGTTCTAGAAAGCTTTTTCATGGAAATTTCTAGAAGGATCTTGACTCTCCTAGTTCTGCTACTCGATACTAGAAGGCGCTAGTGGTAACAAGTGTCGCCATGTACCAGGCATTAATTGTGGCGCGCAACAATATGAACTAGATTGCTCCTAGCATTGTTATCTGTCTGTTTGTGGTTTGGGATTTGTTTGTGGTGCTGTAGTCCAGTTATTAATAAATTCTATACTTATGGATAAAATGACTCATATTTACAATATAAATAACGGTGGTTTATTGCCAGAAACGAAAATTACTAAATTTGAACCCGATAGGCGTTGCTGTTGGCGAGTGTTTATATTTATAGAATAAAATGTCAAGTGTGTGCAAGATTTTATTTTTAATAAAAGATACTGTTATCAGAAATTAACAATGGATTGTATTTATGTAAAACTTACCTGAGACCCCGTCTTGGCGCTGGTAGCCGCGAGGGTCTGGGCAGAGCAGACACCCTTGACTCCGCTCCAGTCCCTGGACGGGATTCGGACACTGGAACTGCATCCACAAGACTAATAAATATCTAAATTGCATACCCATTTCAAATCTGTTTTTTTAAACCTTTACTTTTTTAATTGAGAAGTTCAAAATAAGTGAAATATAAGTACGTAATAAACCAACCCGCTTACCAAGCGTGTCAACTATGAGGTAATCTATGGTGGGAGGCCTATGTTAAGCAATGGACTTTTTATAGTCCATAACGACAATGGTATTTTTCTGAATAAAAATTTTATTTCCCACAAACCTGCGACAGGTCTCTGCGTCGGACCAGAGGTCGGCCTTGAAACGCGCGTTTGTGTCGCACCCGCTAATGAGTAAGGGCGCGACGTTGGTGGCTGGAAATAACAAGAATATTATTAGAATGTGATAACTTACAAGTTTTTAAATTACTAATATAATATATACACCTGGTACATGCAAGATCCATAACCCATGACATTGAACAAATACACAAAACCAAACAATACTATACTCCACACATCGATGAATTTGTTTCTATGAGACAGATCGCCTTAAAGATGAGATGAAGATGAAACAATAAAAATGAAGAGCGGACACTGCTATGTTCTTATCTAAAGGGTATGGACAGCCAGTATAAATATAGGTTGTGAAGTATTCTGTCTTAGTCCACAACTTGAAACAAATAAGGTAACAGGTAGCAACGCACCGGTAGGCTTATTTGTTTAGAATAGGTTGAAGGTGCCCAAAGACTGCAGTAGCCACTTAATATGAGGTGTACTATTACCTGGTTTATAACTGCTCTAATAATATTAAACAACAATCTAATAGCTAATTTTGTCTACATTCTTAAACTTATTATGTATTTGTTGGAAACTTTACGTCTATAACATATTTATAAAGTATGTGCATAATTCAAGTCTGGAGTAGTCGGGAAAAAAAACTTCATGGCTGGGAAGTGAACTAGCATATTATAGATTTTGACACTACAGTTCGTAAGTACACTCCTGAACAATATCTATGGGGAAGATTGCCACAAAGTACAGTCTTGAGCCACCAACATCCGTCGACGACCAGCGTATTTCATCACATCGTTACTCCATCTAGTGTGGCGTTACCTAACACTGGAGGTCGTCAACAAGAAAAACTAGCTACATAATTTCATTTTATAGTATGTCTTACAATAATAACGTCAATGCTATTCAGATACTCAAGCATCCTCAATTATCACGTCAGTTCTCTTTCCAAACAGAGTACCATATCTAACTGACTAAATTTGGTGTCTATAATATCCTATGACCTTTAAACGAGCAATTCTTGTATATATAAACATACAATATATATATATATATATATATATATATATATATATATATATATATATATATATATATATATATATACGAGCAAAAGGACATTTTCTAAAAATAAATCCTAGCTAGATCGATTTATTGCCCCCGAAACTCCCTTTACACTAAATTTTATGAAAATTGTTGGAGCCGTTTCCGAGATTCCGATTATATATATATATATATTTCGGATTTTTTAGAGTTTCGGGGGCAATAAATCGATCTAGCTAGGATTTATTTTTAGAAAATGTCCTTTTGTCCGTGTTTTCAGGCAATAAAAAAACTGCTACAATATAAGAAGCTTTACAAGGCGCAGGTTCGGCCGCTCATGGAATACTGTTCCCATCTCTGGGCTGGGGCTCCCCAGTACCAGCTCCTTCCACTTGACCGCATCCAGCGCAGAGCGGCTCGAATCGTCGACGACCGAGTGCTTTCCGATCGGCTCGATTCACTGGCGCTGCGAAGAGATGTTGCATCTCTTTGCGTATTTTATCGCATCTATCACGGGGAGTGCTCTGAGGAATTGTTCGGATTAATCCCAGCCGCCAAATTTCGTGAACGCACTACACGGCAAACGTCCCGATACCATCCACACCATCTGGATGCTTGGCGGTCCACCACTGTACGTTTCAAAAGGAGTTTTCTTCCGCGTACAACCTCTCTGTGGAATAATTTACCACCGGTGATTTTTCCGGACCGATACGACCTGGGGACCTTCAAGAAAAGAGCTTACTCCTTTCTAAAGGGCCGGCAACGCACCTGCAATTCCCCTGGTGTTGCGGTTGATCATGGGCGGCGGTAGTCACTTAACATCAGGTGAGCCACATGCTCGTTTGCCCCCTCTTCTATAAAAAAAAAAAAAAAAAAAAATTGCTGAAGGTAAATTGTGACAGATCACTAACGATCGTTATAGCTCAGGTGGTATGTCGGTCGGGCGTGATATCGGAGTTCCGTGGTTCGCGCCCTGTCTCTGGTCCGGCTTTTTTTCTTTTTTTTTTCAAGTTACCTTCTTTTGTGAGAAAATCTATTATTTGAAGCCCTTTTTTTTAGTATTTTTTAAAAATACGAAAATTTTAATAAAACTAATTGCACTCATGATTTTTTATTCAAATAACCAGAGTTCAGTTTTTTCTATTCTATCAATAAGATCAAAAAATATTATTTATGTTTCACCAGTATGTAATTTATAAATGTAATTTCAAAAAAAAAAAAACCGAGCAAAGCTCGGTCAACCAGGTACTTTTTTTTAATACGTAGATGACAATATAGGCAATTCGTAAATACTAAGACGCGCGAAGTGAAGCGTAAGCGAAGGGCTTTCCACTTGGGTTTATAACAATTCTTCTTAAATATGGTAGTTTTTAGGCAGATTTTGTAAATTACTTCATACCGATAAAGACAGAGTATATTGTATAAATGCAGACACTCACAGGCATATAGTGATTCCGCATAGACAACCGCACCCCGCTGCTGCTCGCGTGCGCTCCAGACGCCCGATGCTGTACGCACGCACACAAACAAGCAAGCACCGATTGTTAATCACGGACACACAATCATGACAGAGGGTATTAAGACAGCTTTAGAACACAACATGTAATAGATAACCGTAGAAATTTTCTTTTATATAGTCCCCCATGACATGACATTACGGACAGCAATTGTGTAGTTGCACAAGCGGACATCCGTGTTTTACTACCGATAGACGGGACCACTGGCTTGACATTACGGACAGTAAAATTACACAAGCACAATTATCCTGCATAAACCGATCACAGTGATTATCTTATTTGTACGCTTTTGCAAAGCCCGAGATGAAGTCAACGAGTGCAAGTAAATGTACAATTCCGTAGCCGTCTGCAGACAGCAGCAGCAAGCGACGTGTCGTCGCTACGCAACTGGTTTATAATATGTAGTTCTATGAAATACGTCATACGCCAGAAGACACTGTAGCCCGACCGCAGATCAGTAGTGCCGCCAATGGCCGAGCGGGAACACGTTGAATTTTTCTTAAAAAACGAGTTTCACCATCTCCGAGGAAGAGAAACTGATAAACCAGGTGGCCCAATATCCCGCACTGTACGTTCCCTCACTTCATCTGCATTTCAACATAGGAGCTGTGTCTTTTCGTCTCTTCTCTTTATACTTGTATAATAAAAGCAAGTCATCATCTTCTTCCTCTTCTAACAAAAGGTACAAAAATAAATCGCGATCGCTAATTTCAAACACGTCAGACATCATGTCCCACTGAACACTCGGAACAGACTGGACTCGGGTTACTGCCGCCTGCAGTCGGGTTTGGAATCATGACTGCGGCGACACGTCGCCCGCTGCTGCTGCCTGCAGTCAGCTACGGAATTGCACCTTTAGGTAGTTACATAGAATATATAAGAAGTTGCGTTTGCGCGTCGTTGGCATGTTATCGACCATACGACGTTTGAAGTATTACAGCGCTCGAAAATTTAAATATTGCTGTAAGGTGTAATGGAGTTCTAATAGGGTATAACGGGCTGTTTAGCTTGTATGGAGGTACGCCACTGGCTGCCGTCTATCTCGTACTAAATTATACATATACTGGCAATTTATAAGATATGCTAATTTTTTAAAGAGAAAAATACCTTATTTATCAATAAAATGTCCAAAGCTGCCTTTAATACTACATAACAAATGGATGCAATTAATAACAAGTTGCATAAATAATTAAGTACCATGATTTTTATTCATAATTCCAAAACCAGTATGATGGTACTGGTATATAGACAAACGTAAAAATAAATAATTAGTCACAATTGAACTTGAATTGAAAAAGAGATTAATATTATCACATTTACTTATACAAATTATAAAATAGAATGATCTTCTTAAAATTATTCTATAAAGAACCCCTATTTTCTAAATTAATTTTTTTAAACAACCACACCAAAATCCACCTTCATATTATGCAACTGAAAATCAACTAAAAGTTGAGTTCAATGCTAAAATTAGTTAATTATAATAAATAATAACAATATATAATAATAAAAAAAATATATTTATATACAAATATAAATAATCATAAAAATATATACAAATACAGTGTGTAAGTGTAAACACCGTTGTCACTGAAACCATAGGTGGTTGGCTTTAATATAAAAATATTTATCCGATTTTTTTTAAAAAACGCTATTTTCTTTTATAAAATTAAAAAAAGTTTCTGTCCGACACCGTCCGTAAATTCATGGATACCCTATGCGCTCGAGTGACGTAATCACTGTAAAGATCACCGCCCGCCCTTGCTACCTACACAACATTTCAATATAAACGGTCTTCTATTTTCCTTCATACTTTCACACTTGCTTAGGACAGATAAAAATTCCTACCCTTTGTGTTGCGTGACGAGTCCAAATTAATGTAAGTTAGATTTAACAACAAAGAAAATTAAACATTAATAATAGTAAATAGTAAATCATTAGGTAGGATTTTTGGCGTATTTACCGTATACCGTACCGCGGCCCTGGAACGCAAAAGGCATTTGAAGCATAAGCTGACCGTTCATTGTAAAACCGATGTGTAGCCCGATTGATTGGTTATTTACACTTACCTATTAAATAAAATCCTCGTAAATGAATTCCATTTTGATCAGCTTTTACATTAATCGTAAAAGCTAGAAGCACAACAGTGTCATTTCTCTAAATACACTAAGAATTCGCCTTTTGAGTTCGGACGTATTACGGAACTTAGTTGCATACACTCGGCGCTTCACTTCTCCCCAAAGATAAAAGTCCAGCGGGGTAAGGTCGGTTCATCGCCCAGGAAACTCCTCAACCAGTATAGCCCTGGTTTGCAGCTGAAAATGTGCAGGGGCACCGTCATGTTGGTAGTAGAGGTTTCTCAGTGAACGAAGAAGCAAATTTCCACTGCACGTTTATGTAGGACATAATTACAAATTAAATACACTCGCACTAAAACTACAACCTAAAGCGACGTAGAATGTCGGCACTGCGCGGCGCGGTTTTAAATCAAATTAACACGTACATTCCGTACCGACGCAGCTGGACGCAGCGAAGGACTGACACACTGACACAGTGACATTGGCCTTGACCGCGAATCGCTGCCGCTACTTACGATATGTTGAGTTTTTTTGTTGTGAATTCTGTAGGTATATCCCTACTTGCCTAGGGTGAAATAATTGTAAGAAAAAATTGAGATTTGACTAAAAAAAATGTTGTTATTTTTCATTGAAATTACTTTCTATAAGTGAAACCAAACCACTGGTTTCAAGGACAACGGTGTTTACACTAACACCCCGTATAAATATTATACCAATATATATACAAATATAAAATATATAAATTGGTTCGAGTGTTGAATTTGAATAATGTGCGATATGTGTTAACAAATATGTCCAAGTCGACATCTACGCGATCGCTTTGGAACAGCGTAATATTGACGCACACTACAATGTTATCTCTGTGTGCGTGTCAGGGCGAGCGCGAGGCTAGTTCCCTTTAGTTGCACGAATCATTTTGATACTATTGGTACTAAAATAATAAAAAAATAATTTCCACATAATGGCTTATATAGTGTATAGCAGTGGTCTCCAATTAGTTTCGCTCGGGGTCCGTTTTAAGAAATGAAATGACCATCGTGGTCCGCACATTTTATTTACAAGAAAAAATATTTATTAAACAAATGTAATTAAGGAAATAACAAAGGTATTTTGTTACATAGGTATCAATGCGAAAAATGACATTTTTGTTGGGAATTATCTGTCTGTGTGTAATTATGTGTGTAGTTTGGAGTAAAATTGGTGCAAGCTATTGACATTAAAACCTGGAGATGTCCAGTAGTAAGTCGAAAATGCTGCTTCACAAATATATGTCGATCCAAACAAAGTAAGAAGTTTCAAAGCTAATTTTTGTAATTCTGGATATTTATTACCACAAATTTTATCCAGAACTCTTCACTGGAAACTACCGATTGTTTGTGTTTTAAAACTGTGTTTTCTTGGAAATCGATCATTTCCATCTGCAGAGTAGCTTTATCACTTCCGAAAACAATTGCAGCATCATTACTCCATTTACCATCAGGATGCAGAGAGTAAATGCTGCTGAGGATTTCTACAACATTCTCAATTTTCCGTAATGAACACGTCTTGAATTGGCGAACTCTTTCTCGCTCGTTCGTTACTTCGCCCGGCCGTTTTCGAATTGACGTCAACAAAGATAATGCGGGGGGATACATTTTTATTAAATTACGCACAGCTCGCGTCAATCTTTTTGGGGCCACGGAAGTTATTTATATCGGAAGTAGTCTTTAGTGTAAGTTACTGTGTTCTCGCGGGTCCGCACCAAGTGGGTCGGCGGTCCGGATGCGGACCGCGGTCCGCCATTTGGTGACCCCTGGTGTATAGAAATCGGAGGCCAATATGTGGAAAATTGTTTTACTCTTTTAATAAATTGAAGTCGGCTATACATTTTCACCCTATTGAGTATATTATATGTTCTAATTAAAAAATATGTATTATATAAAATATATATCATTTGATAAACTTTTATTCTGCTTTATAATGTAAACATAATTCATCAAACTAACAATTTCATTAGTGTCGGCGGGGATCGAACCCGGATTGCTCGCGTTTACGGCGAGCACTTCGCCCTTGAGCTACTCAACTCAAGCACGGCTCATATTTTTTATGCCTTTGTTTAATCATAACGTTATCTCCACACTAGGAATTTTTCTTAAATACATCGTGGGGGCAGTTTAAATATATTAATTTCACATGGACAAACATACAGACCCGGAACAATTATTTGTAGGTTATACAAATTTTTGTTCCGTGTGGGATTCGTACCCGCGGCGCTCAGCGCTACTACTCATTACCAAGTTTCTTCGTCACGGAGCCAAAGGTTAAAGCCAAAGATTTTGTATTTTTACTAAATCCGAATTGCTTACGTTTATTACTCATTTCTAAGAAAATATGTATGAAATGTAAATTTGCCACCATTACATCATTTAATATTACCATTATCATAAACATATTTCAAAATTACTTACTACCAAAAATATCGCTTATAAAAGTCTCAATCGTTTAGAATGCTTAACGGTGCTATAGGTAGCTAGTTATAATATAGTGTAGCATAGCCATATCGGTGTATCAACGCGATCGCGCGGTGTCGGTAAGAAAAAATAATACGTCCTATCGCTGGGATTACCCGGAGCCAAAGATGTTTTACTTATAAAACATCTTTGCCCGGAGCGTACTAAATCGGAAGGCGTCTGCGTGCGATGATTTATAGTATTTTTAAAATAATCATATAAAATAATTGACAAAATAAAACGAGCTAAAACTTTTTTTTTTGGATATTTAGCATTACATGTATTTTGATAAAATAATTAAAATAGATATGTTTACAACCAAATACACGGAAAAAGTTACATTGAAGTAGACAGTTTTGGTGATTATATAATACTGTTTTATAATATTAAATCGAAATATTTTCGTAATTTAGGTTTTGCTATACACTAAAAGACTATATTCCATTATAATAACGCTTAAAATAAAGTATTTTAGCTTATAATAATGGTTGTATTCAACCTGAAAGATAACTCAACTCTGCCGCATATTTTCGTAAAACGCTGTGAAAGGATTGTCTTCGCTCTAAAAAACCATCATTAAAAACTATGATTTTGCATTGTAGTGCACTAAATAAAGACTTCATCTTTCTAAAGCCCTAATTTTCTGTAAATAATCTCCTCACATCGTTACGATATCGCCCTTTGAAAAACCCTAAATCATGTAGTTTTCAACGCGAAACGTATATGCACTGTTAACACATTTCTTTAGTGATGACTGGCGATTAAATTAATACAATTAGTAATGAAAATCATGGTGAAGCCCCCTTTTGTGTTTTTTTTTGCGATGTAGATTACGGAACAATAATTTAATTTCGTTTGTCAAACGTAAACATGTTCTTTAACCCTTAGAACGCCACGCGCAACTAATCGGAAGTATGCTCTCTACGCCAAACCATTTATTTACTATTAAATACCTACAAAATGCTGGTGATTGGGTATTACCAATATCGATAAATCTTTATCACTGCTACTGTAATCGACTTCCTAAGTATAAAGGTGTTTAATTTATTAAACAAATGTTACTATTGTATCATTAATGAACTAACATAAACGAAATAATCAAATTAACAAACTAGTTTCTCCATTGAAACAAGTTTTTATGGAACAAAGCGCGTCCCTAAAACGAAATTGACGTCACTACTTGTCGTCTGAAAGCGACAATGGCGAATGGTTTCGAAGAGAACGCGGCAATTTTAGGGATGTGGTAATGGAATAAAAAAACATTTTTAGGAAGTTGTTGTTTGGCAAAAGCAAATTATTCCAGATCTGGATATTACGTATAATGTTCATACATAATTAGATAGTGTTTTCGGGAAAATAAATTCAACACGTCACTATTGACGCCCAAAAGCGACGACACCGGGGCACGAATAAAGGATAGTTCCAAATTAGTAACGAGACTACATGATGATCATAGATAAATTGATGTTTTAAATGTATGAAGGTTTTAACATTATTTATTTGATTTTTATATTAGTATGATCTCTTTTTTTATTAATCGTATTAATAATAAAGTAAAATTAATTCCTCAATAGACACACTGTTTGTAGTTTTAACCAATGTTTTAGTTCAATTAGCAAAATTTTCTTGTAAATTGTAGAAGATTAAATTAATTGATAGAATCAGACGTTACTTTGCGAAAATTCATTATAATAAAGATTAATATCTAATTCGCAACCATCCGCTTAATTAAATAAAATGATGTGTCTTACCTGGATTGAAGAGCACCTCCCACCCTCCCTCAATTGCGTGCACTAATCCCGTTACCACTAATCTCAGCACCACTACTCCCGGCACCACTACTGCCAACACCACTATTCCAGAAAAGACACACCATCGACGATAATACGGTACGTGCTTCGCCTCTACACGGGGCATCTTCAGGAGATGTAGACTCTACGGCGGCTGACCGCTAAGATTAAAAATTACCCCATCACTAATGTCGCTTCAAAGCGGCAATGACGTCTGGTGAACGTATATTTTGAGGTATTATCTTCGCTTAAAACAAGTTCAAATTTGGAATGAATACTACCAAGATCAAAATTAAGTTTGATCCAATTTAATTGACATACGGAAAAGACGACAAAATTAAAAAAAAATCTTCACCTATTTTCTATAAGATTAAAGTAGCACATCTATTTGTCGCCTAAACTCGTCGTTGGCGTTCTAGTGGCCAGTTTGTCGCTTGTAAGCAACGTTGGCGTTCAAAGGGTTAATCTACTAACATTTCGAAATAATGATCCTCTGTTCGAAGAAGAAAAGAAACTCCACAGATTTCCTTTTTTTTAAGGTCAATATATACTTTATTAAAATAAATAATATACTAAATTACAATATACTATACAATATTTAATAAAAAAGTAACAGACCCATAGGCAATCAAGGCATGTTCTAATTACACAACAAATGCATGCAAAATTAAAGCTAAAAGCCACGGAGCCAAAGGTTAAAGCCAAAGCACCTGTTCACAAGTATGACGCTTGTGGCAATCATTGCCTTTATTGGCCAATTAAAAAGTTAGAATTTTGTGAATAATTAAGAGTAATAAGGGTTTAGTTATGGATGAAACGAAATTGTTAGTTATTCTCGGAGTAAGCGTGTTTTAAAATTTGGAATGAGTCAAAATCTAGCTGAAGTCTAGTGTGAAATCGGGATTGTGTAAGCAGCAAGCAAATAATACAAATTAAAAAACATAATACCCCATAGTATATACAAAAAGTTATATAAACCTGTTCGCTCACATCTCTGGGTGCGACGAGTTGACTCTGCGGCCGTTCACGTCGCAGTGTTTCCGTACCTTGCCGCACTAATGTGGGCACTGAGGGCTTTTGCGTCTGTTTGTCCTTATCATCTGGAGGATTCTGACAAAAATAGACAAATGAGATCATAGCAAAGTTTTTTCAATAAGTGGGGAGAATTTGACGTCATCGGCATGTTGCCGATTGTAATGTACCGGACGCGTCCACTTAACACTGATCCCAAATCTACCTGAAATCAATATATTACCGTTACAGCGGATAGGCTGTAAAACGTTCTACGCTGAACCAAGGTCTCCCCTGAAGATCGCCTCATTAGGGGATATTTATCATAATTGCCACGTTTGTCAAGCGAGTTCGAAATCGCATATTTTAATTTTGTTAGGACGACACTCCTGTCCCTTTCTTAGTTTATTTCCTTCTGTCGCCTCTTACGACACCTACGGGACGATATGGATATAGGTCTCAAATATATTTTAATGGATAGGGTGACAAACTACCACACAGTCCGCCTGATGGTAAGTGCTTGCTGCGGCCCATAGACACCTACATCTATCTTCGATTACAAATCAAAATGCAGATGCGTTGTCACCCGTGAGGACTAAGATGGAATGTGTCGTTTCGAGTAAAGAGGGTCTCCGGTTCTCTACACTTACCACACTAAACACAGCAGCATTAAGCTACTATTTTACGCTGTTATTCTGTGAGAGCGTGGTCCTTCCCCGGTCGAGCTGACCCATTCGTGCTACAACTATACCACTAATATAACTGCAGAATAGCTCTACCACGTATATTGATAATTAAAAAAATCAGCTAAAATTACATGCAAGAGTTATGTAAATAATTTCTGATGCCATTTTTATTTACAATAATTCAGATTTTTTAATTTCCGTAAAGTAAAGCATTCTCATAATATTTACGACCTTAGAAAGAGGTGGTGGTGACGAGATTTCTCAAGCGTTTTCTTTAGTTGACTTAAAACGACAACCACTTGACGAAATTGAGTTCTAAAATCCCTCAGGTGTGTTTATTACGTGCGTTTAAATATTATGTAGGTACATGTAAATAAAACATTGCCATATATTTCATCGGGTGGGGTTACGTAAAAGAACTAACTCATTATTCCATCTCGATATTTGATTCGTAAGAGCTAAAAAATTCTACACCATAAAGATTTAAATGCCTCAGCTGGAATAATTAAAATAACCAATGTTCATTTATTCATTCATTCATTGCAGTCTATCAAAAGTATCACTATTTATCATTGCCTCATAGTTGTTATTAGCAAATTTGTCACGTTTTGTTTTGTTTTATTAATTAATTAATTATTAATAAGACAAAATTTAAAATTTTTAAAATATTTTACAATAATATCACCAATTGTTCAGTGATACTATTGCATTGACCGTTTATTTAAACATCAAAAGATACGCTGGACAATAATTTATCACGTTAATATGAATTAGTCTAGCAGAAATGTCATTAAGTTCACCAAAAAAGTTGATAAAGCAAGCAGAACCAAGGATAGTTATGATATTAGATTTTCTACAATATTTCTAAATATAACAGTTACTTGAATAAAAAAGCAAATAAGTAATATAAAAGCATAATAAGTAAATTACTTTACTATTGAGTCTTGCCGTTATCTAAATACAATGACAAAAACTAAAAACAATACGTCGGAGTAAACAAATACATATATCTGTTGGTTGCAAGAATGTTATGCGAAAAGATACCTATTCAATGTCAATTTCTTACGGGTCCACGGAGTAAACAAGTTTCTTGAAGAAGTTTCTTACACATAATCAAGGGCTTGAATATGTGTAGCTCGGGTTCGAGATCTCGCGTATAATCATAATATTAAGAAACTTATCAACTGCTACTGCAATGTATTACACTAATATGGTATCATAGACCGGGAGCTGGTGACAGGTGACGTTCCTCGATTTTGTCGTACATGCCTTTTTAAGGCTTGATAACTAACCCTAAAATATCAAAGATTGTCGGGGCTTTAGCCCCCCCGCGCGTCCTCTTCATAAGAAAAAGCGCTTTTTTTTGTGTAGCGAATTTTCGTGTTTTTCCGTGATAGTATACTGCATGCCCTTGTAATATACGGAAGTTCAAGCAAATCGAAGCTCTAATAATTGATGGCATGCACCACGCAGCGGCCCGAGATGATCAAAGGGTTCTGAAAACGTGAAAAAAATTAAAGGGCAATTCCGTGTTTTCAAATTGCATGCCGATGTAAAGAATGGAAGTTTTTATAATAAAAACACTCTGGAAAAATTGGCATGCACCCCTCGTATGATGTTCTTTCAGAATCTTTTGATCATCTTGGGCCGCTGCGGGGTGCACGACAAAATCATGGAACGTCACCTGTCACCAGCTCCCGGTCTATCAATAGTCAGATAAAAATATGTGTATGTCGGCTATTGCTACCATAGTAAATATAGTATCCAATATTCAACGCAAAATTTCACATGGTAAAATGATAAAAAATCTATGTAAATGATTATTTACAAAAAACTGTAAGTAACCTAAGTTTAGCGATCTCATGATAATGTTATGTGAAAACTTGAATAAATAAATACATTCGTAACTATAAAAAATAAGTTTTATAATTTATTTCGATAATATCGATATGAGCAGCGACATCACTACTGTCATCACAATGCGCCTGAGTGCGAGCGAGAGCTATAACTCTTCATCCCGCTTTCAGTTTTATTTGTTCCAGGAATAAAGGTAATATTTTCCTAATTAAACCACGGGTTTAGAAAATATATTCAGTGAAACATATGAAGGTAAGTCTTGACAAAATTAAAATACCTTTTTTCTCAAATTCCTGAACAGATTAAGTTGGGATGGTTAAATTTAATCAAGCTTAGATTTTTCAAGTAGCTTACGATTAATTTTTATTAATAATAGGTCCTTACATACGAGATTGGCGTTTTGTACGGGAGGCATATAAAGGCATATATTTTTTTGTAAAATATATTTAATTTATCGAAGTATGCACCGTTGTTATCTATGCACTTTTGCCATCTCATAGGTAGTTCATTGATCCCTTTACTTAAAAAAAAAACATGGGGGCGAGAATCAATAAACTCTTTGAAGGCGGTTTGAACTACCGCATCGGAGTTGAATTTTTTGCCTTCTAAGAAGTTGTCCACATTCCGGAAAATTGGTAATCTGTTGGAGCAAGGTCCGGAGAGTACGGTGGATGTCGCAGATATTCCCATTGTAGCTCATCTAACTTAGTGGTTGATTGTAGTGCAGTGTGTGGTCTTGCGTTGTCGTGAAGTAGCAGTGGCCTAGAGCAATTGATCAATCTTGTTTAGCAGCTAGTTCTTCCTTCATGGTTTGCAGTTGCTGACAATAGATATCCGTCGTAATCGTTTGGAAAGCTGTAGTGAACGACAGCGGCGCCAGTTCACCAAAACACTCACAAGTAACTTACTCTGAGTCCGTTTTCGTTTAGGGCAGGATTTGGCTGGGTCTCCAGGGTTCAGCTATTGCGACGAGCGCTTCCGATAATCGTACAGTATCCACTTTTCATCACAAGTATTGATTCGATTTAAAATCCCTTCATTTATGTGTCCGTTGAGCAAAGTAACACAGCAGTCGATGCGTGTTTGCAAGTAAGATTCACTCAATTCATGAACCCATCGTTCAAGTTTTCTACTTTCCCGATTTGCTTCAAGTGGATTTATCAACTACACCGAAGCCTGCAGCCATCTCTAAAGTGCTTTTTGATGGATCCGCTTCCACAATAGCCTTTAATTCTTCATTTTCCACTTTGGACCCCCGAGGACAGCCGGAGACCAAAGGGGAAAATGAATAATTAAAGCTTCATTTTCCACTTTGGTCACCGGCCGTCCACGGGGTTGGTTCTGAAGGTCGAAATTTCCAGAACGAAAATGTTGAAACCAAAAACGTACCGTGCTTTCTTTTGCGACACCAGCGCCGTACACATCATTAATCCCTCGAGCTGTTTCTGCAGCACTGGTGCCACGGTAGAACTCGTACTCGTAAATATTCGGTATATTAACGAGTACGAGATCTACCGTGGCACATTTCATGTTTCCATTGTGCGGTAATGAGCGACGCCAAAGAAAAAAATGAGGAAAAAACAAATGAATGACTGTTTTCAAGACTCAAATGTACCAGTTAAATGAATTTATAAATTTGAATTTGGAATTCTTAACCAAAGAGGAGATATTTCGGATCAAAGTGGTAAAAACGCTAATTTCATATGTAAGGACCCAATAGTAAGATATTGAACCTGATCAACAGCCACAGTATACGAGTCTCTCCGTACAGGCGGTGCTGGGTTCGTAAACGGCGATGGGTGCGTGGGTTTGTTTGGGTGTGGGATTGAGTGCGTGGGGTAGGTGGGGTACGTGGGGACCGAGGGGGGTGGTGGGACTCAGCGCGGGGTTTGAAGCATACACCCCGCGGCGCACCATCGTACGCCCCACTAATGTTCTCGGTGCTGGCATGCCGCTTAGATTTCCGCCTGAAACAAAGAGAAATAACCTTACAGGAGGGCAAGTTTAAGAGGATACTTTGAAAATGAATCGAAGTTTTGGGGGCGTGGCTTATTACTTTGTCGGTGAAGCTAACGGACGACGGCGGGTGTCAAAATGAAAGTGATGCAATGACTTCATAGTACGCAAATTATGAGATAGCCATACCGAGCAAGCGTTCGGAAAAAACTAAGAAAAAACAAATTTTTATTTATTTTAACAAAACTTCGTTATGGATTAAAAAACTGATTTATGAGAACTTAGATATGATTATTTACTATGCCTTAAAAATAATTCAATGAAATTATTCGTAAGAATATTGTGGTGTCATCGAAAAATGTAAATAATTAGAGCCTACTTTGCAATTTTATTTCTATCGAGAAAATTACATGATATCGTGTTTTCCTTTTATGCAATCCAAGGTCATATAGTCAAAAATTATATAGGTACCAAAATTTTAGTTTGTAATCTATAAAGCTTAAAAAATATGTTAAATAGAAAAACCACCAAATTTTCGAGGTATCGCCTTAAGCAAAATGTAGTCCAGATTAATAATTAGTACACAGTATATAGTAAAAATTACACAGAATATTTTGCGTATGATCTCTATTAGCTTATTATTATATAGTTATTTGATTTATTTCATAGCAAATAAGATTTTTTGAAATTATTAATCGTAATATAAGGTACTTTTTTATTTGTCACTTTGTGTCACGTTGGTGAATGAAAACGTTGTGACGAAAACTGCATGTCTGAGAGCCTATATTGCACTGTAAGCTTTCAGTATATTTATTAAAAATTATTGTACATGGACAAAGCAATTTGTTGTATAAATCCCAGAAAATAAACAAGGTCTGTCTATCTCAAAGTTTTTAATATTTCTTAACAAAGACTGTAAAAAATAGTTATTAAAAACGTAATGAACACAACAACACAAACTAATTCTAAAATGAATTTTATAAGTATTAATACGACTACAAATATTTTATTGTTAAATTTTATTTGAAAAAAGCCCTGCCTGCTGTCCTGGAGATTTCCAAACCAGTGCTAAAAAAATCACCAATTTTAAATAAAAACAATTGGTCTATTAATCCTCTCAAAACTAAAAAGCGGTCCGTGCAAAAGAACGGATCTAGGTTATTTTAAAATAATGATATAACAAAATCTATTTTACCTGGTATCCTGTTAAGTTCTTTATGTGAACTGTATTGTCTTAATTTAGATGTTGGTAAGCCAGTTTTCCTCGGGACTACTGTTGGTGGGGACATTGAATTATAACATCCTGAAAATCAGAAATATATTTTTTGTCACAAATAAAATTATTGTCAATAGTCCACTGCTGAACGTAGGCCTCCTCACAAATTGCCTTAGGTTATGAGTTTCATGTTTACCAGTGGATCTGTGATAGGCTGTAATGATGATAACTATACACTTTTTGAATGAATTTAAAATAGTGGGTAATAGGCCACCTTATCGCAAAAAACATTACGATCGGGATATGTTCTGAGGATTTTTTTTCTCACAATACCAAAAACAGCAGCGTTAAGCTACTATTTCACTGCTTGATTAAGGTCCTTACCTGGTCGAGCCGACCCATTTGTGCAACAACTATACTACTAATGTAACTGCAGCATGGCTCTACCACATACAAAAATGTGTTAAGATCATTGATTAAAACTACTTTCACGGATTTTATCGCGTTTAATTTTAATTATTTTTAATTCCCAACGTTTCGGGTGTTTTCCAGCACCTATGGTCACGGGGGACTGAGATGACTGACGTCCCGACGTCATATACACCAGCCAAGAGTTCTTTCTAGGGCTCCTTTAACATAGTGTTCTGCGTTTGTGTTCAAGGCCAACACTGTTGATATTCGGGTCTGTGTACTGTAATTTTACCGTCTGCTTTCGATATAAGAGCATCCACATCCCCACCGCATTCTGGCAGTCTCGTAGCCGGACACTTAAGACTTACAACCATCTTCTATTTATAACAGATGTTATATACTTAGATCGACGATAGGAAGCAGAGTAAGCGCTGCAAGAAGTCTGTTAATCCACTAATTCGCCTGCTCATTTGTCCCTATTATGGTCCATATCCACTTCTGGACCTCTACGAACTAAGGAGAAGATAGATACTGGAGCCATGTCCCATCCCATTTTCATATTTTTGTTTGATATTAATAGGTTATTATTGTAACTCTTACCTATATTTGTTGCAGAAATTCGATTAGTCGGTGATTTAACCGTAGTACTAGGTGATATGTTCTTTTCGAGACTTGTTTTTCCTGCCAAAATGTCCCGTTTAGCCTTAACTACAGTCGCGCTGTTTATTACTGTTGTACTATGAAGGTCGTAGGTTTGTTCCATTCCTGAACTCTGTGCTTTCATCAGGGTGTATGATTTGTCATCGATTATGTCGTATATAGGCGATATTGTTGTATGCAGATTCAATAATTCGCTTTTGGAGCCTTTCTTCAATGCCATGAGTGGTGTTGAGGCGATTTGTCCATCTATAAATTGGGTGTGTAAGTAATAATAAAATAAACAAAGATATGAGTGGAATAAAAAAATGTGTTACCGAGATAAACCTGTAGTACAGAGACAAAAGAAAGAAAACAAGATACCTATGTATTTGGGTTGGAATATTAATTAAAAATAAAGGCATATAAAAGTAAATATTAAAGGAAGAATATAAATTCTATAGTATTTTTAGGAGATTACATTTTTGTAAATGGTTATAAATTAAGCAGTTTAAAATCTGCATATAGGTATATAAATGAAGATAAATAAGCATATCTTTTACACCAAACATACAGTAACTGGAAACAGCATCGGAAGTGCGAAACATCTGGTGATGTAATCCATCTGATAAACGTGGTATTATAGCAATCAATAGAAAAGGTTTTAACAATCTTACATGAAAACTATGAAATCTTTGGGTCATAGAAATATTGTGCACAGAAATGAGACCACACTATTGTATCTCATTAGGTCATCACCATTAACTTGTTAAGTGTGTAGGGTAATAGGTCAAAATAGATAGTAACAAATATTGTGGACAGCCGCTGATGGACTTGGTATGGCCCTATCCTATAGTACAGATATTTTAGTTTTGGAATTTTTAAATATGATGATTATACAAGAAAATAAGATTGAATCATTCATTAATATTATTAACAAATTATATATTTTTTATAATTAATACAAAAAGCATTACATTGTCGGGCAACTTACGATCGTGCGAGTGTGCAGCTGTATCGGGCACACTGTCTGGAGGGCTGGAGGAACTGAACGTGCCAGTGTCCGTACTTTCGCTAGACCCAACCATGGCCCGCTCTTGTGAGCCCCATTCCTGGCAAAAATAAGTACTTATGTTAGAACAAGGATATACCAAGTTCTAATTTTGCTCGTACTACTGGGATATGTGAATTTCAAAAACAGTTTTGTAATCAGCTAAACAATTATCAACATCTAGAGAAAGCTTAAAATGTGTCATAAGCCACTTAAGGTAAAATTTGTGCCATTTGTGGACCTAAACAGTATATGAGGATATTGTGTTTTAAATTGGAGCATCTCAGTTTTTACCAGAAATGAGAAAACCATTTCTTCTTTCAAGGCAGTACATTATTTTACATGACTCATCTATTTAATATATATTGCCAAACAGACGTATATATTCATAGTTTGTATATACTAATTATGTATGTATTTAAATATGTATATTTGTATGTATATCCACTTATTTATATATTTGCATATATGTAAGTATATATCATATATGTATAGTTTATTTATTACTAGTAGTTTGTATATATTATGTAGTTAATTATCATTTGTATTGTGTTATCTTATTCTATATTGCCACACCTACGTTAAATTCTCAACACTCCATGGTACTGGTAGAGAATGCCTCAAGGCATTAAGTCCGCCCTTTGTATTCTTTTGTTTAAGGATGCAATAAAGAATAAAATAAATATTATATTAAATTCAAAATGTACGCTCTCTAAAATTATTTGGTTAGTTTGTAGTATGATCTATTTATGCCTTTAACTTTGTTTAGCAGTAACATCTATTTATCCACCTCACAAATCAGTTTCATAAAAATAGCAGACTTTAATTTTTTTTATTAAATTTGTTTTCTCTCATTACGCCCATTCTAAACTACCACTATACATAATTTCAATACTCACATCTTGCTTTAAAGTCCTTTCACCAGCATCAATAAGGTTCATGGTTGCAGAGTTGATATCGATTATTTGGTTTTCGTCCGCTTTAACATATACAACAGTAGTGTCCATTGCGCTTTGTTTAGGCGACACTTTCCTGAACGTCGCATTCCTTTTCGGCGTCTCTCTTGTAGATTCTTCTTGTTTCTCGTAGTTGTTCAAATTCATCAATCTCCTCTTCGCCAGTAATTCCGAAACATTTTCCATATTCTGCCGTGGCACTGTTATTATTTGGTTAGGTAGCTGTATTGTTTTAATAGGTGATGTGTCAACTTGGTTCGGCAAAGGTTTGTCGGGTTCAGTTGGCAATCCTTTCCTCGCCAATGACAGCTTCTGACGAGCTTGTTTAATCTCGTTCAACTCCTGTTTGTCTAAAGTCACGTTGAGACTATTCTTACCCAAATCCACAGTTCTTTGCATATCGTTGTCTTTGAAAAACGAATCATCAGTTTTGAATGTTTCATTCAGATTCTCTTTTTCCGCATCGTTGTGCTTGTATTTACTATTTGCATAATGCAATGTTATTGTTTCACTCATATCACTGGGTTTTGCTAGCTTAGGTGTATCTACTTTATCTGTATTTTCATTCAGTACTTTAACTTGATTTATCTGGTTCTGGCACGCCTCTTCTCTAGATTTTGTATAGCTTTCCGTATTTCGTATGCCAGAGTCGCGTTTTGTTAAACTGTTATAGAGTTGGCACCTGGGTCTGGCTGACAACAATCTCTCTGATTGTTCTAAGTGAGTGAACGTTGCTGAACTAAATATATTTGAGTCCGCAGTGTCCGATTTTGTTTTATGCGTATTAATAACGTATGAGGAGTTGACAGAACTGACTAAGCTAGGTGGCAATGAGTCTAATAGACTGTCATTGTCAGGATAGGTTGTCTGTGATAGAAAACTAGTGCTCATATCTTTCTCATCTAATATGCTGAGTGTCATGCTGGTCATCATTGGATCGATACTATCGCGACCTGATGTTGGTAAACCTGAAAAATATTTTTATTTATCATTGAAATTTGCAGTTAAATGTGATATTTTGTAACTTACATATTTAACAAATTTACAATGTGTAGACTGATCGATAAAAAAAACCTTGCCATTAGGGTACCTCTCGACTTTATATGGCAATAAATAGTATATGTCAAAACGAAAGCCAACATAGTATTTGAATTTATTTTTCCCAAACAGGTATTTAATGTGGCTTTATTGATGCATGATGTGATTTAACTGACTGATAATCCATCAAAATATATAGCCCTCTCCATGTCAGAACGCTTTCTGGGTGATTATCACTCCTACTGTCACCGCTACATATTTTTTAATTCATAATCATATTTTTTGAATGATTCTAAAGAAAGCAAGATTAAAGGACAATTTTATATAAATAATTACCCGAGTCCTTATATGATGGCATAGATTTTCTACTTTCTAATGACTCAGTGTTGAATGTTCCAGAACTTTCCATTAGCAAAGAAGACACAAGGCTCGGTGGCGACATCCGCATAAGTGACTCCCCACTTTGGTACATATTGAGGCTACCGCGTTCGTTCAGTACATTCGTAAGACCTCTGAAACAAGGTTTTTAGATATTAAAGGAAACGCTGTCATTTCTTTTAAAAATATAGCAAATATAAATCTAGGTATTAAGGTATCAAAAAGAGAATAATCAAGTTTAGTAGAATAATTAAGTTAAGTCTTTTATGTAAATGATCAGATCATCAGATCAGATGATGAGATGTCATCAATAATAATTTGTAAAAATTATAGAGAACGTGAGGATACCATTCAGATCAGATATATCGAAATAACAATTTTATGAGACTACCAATTATTTGTTTTTAATGATTTCTTAAATTTACGCGAACATCATACATTGAGTAAAGCCTTGCTTTACAGCACCCATGATCACGGGGGAACTACCTCAACCGCTCGATCCAGTCGACCCAAGCGTCGCAGGCACATCACACAACGACACTACACCCACACTAAATGGGACAAATACTAATAGGACAACGAATGGGACGCGTCGCACCCGCAGACGGGCACGACGCGTTCCAGCTCACACCGCGTACACACCGTACACCCGCGTTCCTGGACGGTTCTCACCGCCCAGACCATCGACCGACACGAGCTGAGTAATCAGAGACGGGGGTCCGCACACCCCCCCTCGGACTGCGGTTAGATAGCTCAAAGAAAAACGCCTAAAAGGCGACATGATGATTGGTAACAATATCAAATCATAAACCATCTCATCATCATCCTCACCTCATTGCCTTTCCCTTTTTTTAATTAGCCTGAGAATAGACGAAGCTGTAAGAGTCGCATAGACTAACAGCACTAACATCTAGATAATAGTAGTCACGGGGGGACTGAGATGTTTGACGTCCCAATGTCATAGTTAGCCCAACTACCTTTTTTTCAAAGAATATTAACAATGCTATAAACATTACTAATATTCCCCTTAACCACTCGTGGTAAGCTTAAATTGCTTGTGTTACGAGTGGTTCACTCCAGTAGTCGAATGGCCGATTCGAACCCACGACCTTTTTTGAGTTCGCGGTTCGCGCCCTGCCATTAGGCTACTGTCGTTTACCTTTACCTTTAGTTTTAGAATATAATTTTTTTAATTTTATTTTTCTTTTGAATATTAATTTTTTCATTTTTCAATTTTTTTAAACTTTAAATTTTTATTTTTTATTTTTTTTTCTGCGTAGACCGGACCAAAAATTAATGCTATCTATGACATTGGGACGTCAAACATCTCAGTCCCCCCTACCCCGTGACCATGGGTGCTATAAAGCACCCGAAACGTCGGAAATTAAAAATAAGTTATACAAACGCGATAAAATCCGTATAAATGGAACTTTATTTAATTGTTTTTTGTCAGATAAACATTAATAAATGTATTAAGAAATAAATACTTAAAAATAGTTTTATTCAATGTATATTTATAATGTTAAATGTGATCGTGTAGTTGCGTGGAATATCTACTATATGATATCGTATCGTGGGGTCTCGTCTTAAAAGTAACGATAAATGGATGGAATGCAGAGGAGCGACGAAGAACAGCGTCAAAGGTGCAGGTCGTCTGCTACCGCTATAGTCAATCCGCTCGCTAAGTGTGACGATAAAAAAATCTCGAATAACAGGAGTGGATGGCAATCTCTTACTGGCTGATAGAGAATAAGAATGGAACGTCAAAGTCCTTTTATTATTTGCCATGATCATCAAGCTTGGTAGGTGGTAACCAATGCCGTATCAACCAACAGGCTGATTTATTCCGTCGACCTGAGGCTACGAATTTTTTTAAAGATGTTTAAGTCGTGTTTCTCAATGGCATTTTTATACCTATAAATGAAAAATTGTAACAAAACTAGATATTTCCTATAAAATAGATATTTTAATAGATAACCACATAGGCTGCACTAAAAGTATCGGGAATGGAATATTTCCACCGTTCCTGTCATATTAAAATCTTTTTAATTGAAAACTCCTTGGTTTTAAAAACCGAAAACCATTTATTTATTTAAAAAAAGATTCTCGGTCTTGTCGCCGCCGCCCTCGTACAAACCTACTACGACCTTATTCATAAAAATGCGACGCCAATCTTAAAAGTTACTATCTCTCTTTTCCATTATTAGAGATAGACAGAAATAGAGATAATTAATATTTATTTTAAGTAAGCGATAATCAACGGTTACAAGGCCGCTAATCTTAATGACACTAATTATTATATTTACCGTCACATATTTTTTATCAGATTACATACTGAACAGTATTATATCGATTTATTTAATAACCCGTAACAGTTATATGTTTTATGTCTCGGGAATAAACACTTCTTCAACTGCCAGACGACCTTATGGTAATAGGTCGTCTCTGTCATGCAGATACTGTTTAAACAATTATACATAGGGTATGTTCCGAAATACAACGCAGTGTACTGTCCAATGCAAATGACGTCATGAATCGACGCTATACTGGTGATTCGTTCCAAAACATTGGACAGTATATGACGTCATACTTTTGCGCCATTTGGAAAAGTGTTGGCGATTATTTTGTCATTTTTTGCTCCAAAAATCATTATATCCTCCTAATGGATATACCATCAATTTTCTATATTTTTTTGTATTTGAATAAATAGAAACAAATTCTGGCATGCTTCATTCGGCAAACACACAATTAAAAATTGTTTTATTATGGTCGGATATCCGACACAATATGGCGGCGGCACGCTAGTACAATAAAGTGTCAAATGATGACGTCATTTGCATTGGACAGTACACTGCGTTGTATTTGGGAACATACCCATAGTTTGTCTCCAATCTCAATAATGCTTCAGTTTATTAACGTATGAAAATATACAATTACTTTTTTAAGTAAGGCTGAAAAACCAGCACACGTTCCACCTAATTGTATTTGCAGTAAAAATGAAGCGATAAAAATAGATAGGTATTAAAAAAAACAATATAGGCAAACTAAGCTAAAAATGAATATAATTCGTCGATAAATTCTCAGTAGCTGCCCGGAATTAGGATGTTGGCGGTGTCTCACCGCCGTGCCTCGGAAAATCACGTAAAGCCTGCGTCTGATCTCTCTCCGGTCGGGTCTGTTTACCGTCCCGTCGGACTAAGAGAGTAAGGGAATAAAGTGCACCTATGCTTGCGCATACACTTGGGCACTATAATCTTGACCTGCACCGATGGCTAGTCTCCGTTGAGTGTGGCCACCGTGACCGAAATTCGGTCTGGAGGACATTATTATTATTATTAATTCCATATCCATAATTATATGTTTTTTTCGGTTTCCTTTGTTGGTGAAGCTCACGGACGATTGAGGGAGTGTCAAAATGAGTGATACAATGACTTCATAATACGTAAATTATGAGATAGCTACACACCGAGCACACGCTCGAAAAAAAATTAAGTAAGCGCCAAACAACATTTTAACAAAACTTCGTTATGGATTAAAAAAATGGTTTATGAGAACTTAGATATGATTATTAACTATGCCTTAAAAATAATTCCATGAACTTTTTCGTAAAAATATTGCGGTGTCATAAAGAAATGTAACTAATTAGAGCCTACTTTGCATTTTTTTCTATCGAGAAAATTACATGACATCGCGTTTTCGTTTTATGCAATCCAAGGTCATATAGTTAAAAATAATATACCAACATTTTGGTTTGTAATCTATAAAACTTAAAAAATATGTAAAATAGAAAAACCATTAAATTTTCGAGGTATCACCTTAAACAGTTTTATCAGATTGAGTTAAGCCCAGTGAGCTTGGTAGCTAAGCAGCTTAGCGTTTGACTGAAACGCTGCTGGGTTGCGGGTTACAATTCCGGCCAAAATAAATGTTTGTATGGCCGAGAAATTTGGTATTTATAAATTAAATTGGTCTGCATCTAGCTGTTTGTTCATTAGCAATTTATATATACAGATGGAAGTCTTAGTGTATATGGTTTCAATTAAAAAGCTGTGTCGCATCACTATGATGATTTTTGTCACTGTTACTTAACTTTTACTTTTAACATTGACTACAACAACAACGACAACAACGACAACTAAACGTATCGGTGGAATTGCTGCTTGTTGTACTTAAAAGTGCTACCAAACACACTCATGTTAATCTGAAAGATAGCCGACGTATTATAACGCAATATGTAGTGGTGCGCGATGTCCACGGACAACAAACCCGCTTACCACCAGCACTAAGATGATATGCCTACGATATATTGGTTAGCGAGTCCAAGTTCACCTCGGTCTCGAACGCTGTGATGCAGTCTACACGCCACTATAATAAGTGATGCAAAATTAAACTTTTGACAGAAGTAAAAGCCAACTTCAGAGAACTAAATAGATTAGAATAATTTTAACATAATACCTTTTGAAATTGGTGCTAGGACATTTGTAAGCCCCTGAAGTAAACCTATTTAACAAAAAAAAGATGAACTAAAATCCGTTAACAATTGACAGATATCGCGTAACATGTAATGTGGCTTTCTTCAAGGCAAGAGTGAATATAGGCTTTTGTTAAGCTAAGTCAGTGCACTTTACCATCATCGGCTGCACCACCGTTCACCATCAGGTGGGATAGTAGTCAAGCACCAGCTTATAATAGTAAAAACACAGTCCAATTGAAAACCTCCTTCTTTTTTTGAAGTCGGTTAAAAAGAAACACCTTCCAAATTTGAGAGAGCGATTGTTAAATTTATAAAAAAACCGACTGAGTTTCTTTCCGTGTAAAATCACTTTCACGACGTTCCGTGCCGCACAGTCATCTCGGGTAATTGTCACGAAATTTAACATCGATTGTGTCTTTTATTTTGAATTTCCGTTCGCTTAATTATTATCGATACGTAATCCTCGTGTTGCGTTCGCGCATCATGGTTATTGTTGCCATACGTTTATAGTTTTCTAGAAAAGTCCCGCTTAAACGTGACTAAATTACTCCGATTTTTTCAAAATAAATTGAAGTAGAATAGTATCTTATATTCCTGGTGGTAGACCAGGTAGACTGTAGCACTCGCTTTGTATCATATTTGCCTACGCTTGCGTTGGTCGAGCGAAGGCGAGTACCAATGTATAGACAGCCCATTTGTCTAGCCTCACCATTGCTTGTCATCGCTCGCCTAGCTGATCGAGTGCAGGCGAGTGCCAACATGTATACGGTTCGTTTGGCGTGCCTTGCTACGACTCGTCTCATTTCGGAACAGTGTAGGTTTTTCTGCGCAAATCAAACGCGCTCGCCTGAACTCGTCAAGTCGTGTCCACATGTTAGTCGGCCATGTCAGGTATGTTCACTCGTTCAAACTTGGCCAACATGTAAATTGTAGCACCCGCCTTGTATCAATTTGCCTACGCTCGCGTTGGTCGAGGCTTGGCCAACATGTTGCTTGCTGGCATTACGCTGTTGTATATGTTGGCTTTATACCGGCTTCATACGATCAGCATATCACATCTTTGATAATATTACCCGTTCCCGGTCTGGATACATTATATCTGGCTGACACTAAATAGTGATACTGCCAATTATTATGACATTTCTGGTCTTTCCCATAGTCGCCTCCTATGACACCAGCGCGACGAAATGAGGCGATGGACTTTCAAACTGGTTCTATTTCAGAACTTTATCTTTTTTATATATTACTTTATAGATTTATTTTTACTTAAAAAGTTACTGGCACTAATACCAATGAACCAACAAAATAAAATTATTAATGAATTATGAGAGTGACTTGCCACGCAAGTTATTATAAATACTTAATATTATGCTTTTGAAAACTTCACGTCGTAGAGCCACGTTGCAGCTATATCACGGTTGTAGCACGAATGGGTCGGCTCGACCGGGTAGGACCATGCTCTCACCAAATATCATCGTAAAATAGTAGCTTAATGCTGCTGTGTTTTTTATGGTGAGTGTAGAGAACAGGAGACCCTTTTTACTGGAATTCTATCGCAGTCCCCAGGGGTGACAACGCATCAGCATTTTGATTCTTAATTGAGGATAAATGAAGATGTTTATGGGCTACAACATCCACTTACCATCAGGTGGACTGTGTGCTCGCTTATCACCCTTATTCTATAAAAAACACCTATGTTTCTTTAAAACACAATTTTTTTCCTTGCTGAATAACTATTTCGTATCTATCCCATATATAAAATCCTATGAGCGGCCCCAGGGAGAGGCGTCAGTGATGCGAGACGTGTAATACTGCTATTGTCAATCCTCCTGCCATGCGTGGCAATTACGGGATGTCTACCCTACTATATGAGAGGCCCAAGTCTAATAGCAAACAATCTGGTTCTTTAACTTTATTGACACATACAAATAGAGTCTGAAAGCAGTATGATTTTTATCCATGGAAACCTTTGATAATATTGACTGTCTTTATCATTAAAAAAAAAAAACAATTAAACGTTACTTTTTGAATTAAGAAGCTTTAGTTTTTTCACCAGAATAAAAGCACAAGAAAGCACTTTAGTTTTAGCGTAGTAGCTGCAATAGAAATCCATCACTTATACCTTAAGAGTACCAAAATTAAACTAAGACGAGAATCAAAATTACGTCTTGCCTCTGATAGAAAGATTGGGTTGTTAACAGAGACCAAGCCAGTGCAATTGTATAATTCTGATGGGTATCGTGGTTGGATTCGTTTTGTTATTTGGTGCTTTGAAACAACTTAAATTCTCTCTCGCAAAAATGTCTTGTAAAGTAAAAGTAAAGTTACAGCCTATATACGTCCCACTGCTGGGCTCAGGCCTCCCCTCATTTCTGAGAGGGTTTTAGGGCAAGGAAGTGTCCGCCGCGCTGCCCAAATGCGTGTTGACGAACTTCACATGTCTTCGAAATATTTTTTTTTCTTATTCCTCAGACATGCAGGTTTCCTCACGATGTTTTCCTTCACCGCAGAGCACGTGGTAAATCAGCACTTAAAATTGCAATTAACAATTTCATTGGTGCCGGCGGGGATCGAACCCGGGTTACTCGCGTTCTGTTATATTTACAGCGAGCGTTAACCACTGAGCTATCACGGCTCTTGTGTCTGCTAAGCTTGTCTTGCTAAGCTATAATTTATAGAAGAATTAAAACGCCGACTTCAAAATATAAAATTATTCTATTCTTTTTAATACTTTGAAGTCGGTTTTTACTTTTTATTAAGTTATTTTTTTACCTTTCTGAGTGGACTAAGGAATATCACAATCTCAATGTCGCTAAAATTGCTACATTAAAAACTTCATGTTCAATTTTTTTCCCAAATTTATAGTAGATCACCCCTGAATTTTTTATAGGATAGGGTGACAAGAGAACACAGTCCACCTGATGGTAAGTGGTTGCTGCATCCCATAGACATCTACATTTATCCTCGACTACAAGTCAAAATGCAGATGCGTTGTCACCCGTTAGGACTAAGATGGGCTAATGCCTCGTTTCCAGTAAAAAGGGTTTCCGGTTCTCTACACTCACCATACGAAACACAGCAGCATTAAGCTACTAATTTCACGCTGGTATTCTGGTTGAGGCGTGGTCGTTCCCCGGTCAAGCCGACCCATTCGTGCTATAACTATACTACTAATATAACTGCAGCATGGCTCTACCACGTATAAATGATAATAAATCCCATATGAATAAATAATCCCCATAATACAATAGGGGACATAAATAATCTTCCCTATTTAATAAAGGAAATAATCTTCAAAATCAGGACTCAACTCGCGAAGATATCACGTAACATACATACATATAGAAAAGAAAGAATTTAAAAAAAAAAATTTTGAACCTACTTTTTAAATTCGGTTAAAAAGCGACCGATAAAACAATTAATCTCTACTTCTATGAAATTATAGATGAATAACTTACGTGTAACATGACCAACTTTCACGATATGTCGTATTAAGAACTGTATATATTCGAACTTGAAAATATCTAACGGCTTTTCGATTGGCCATTAGAAGACATGGTTTTTTTTACAAAGTGCGGTAGCGCAGTGACTAAGCATTTGGTTGCGACATTTCGTTTTCGAAATGCGGGTTCGAAACCAAGATATTTGGTGGTGCCTACATCCTACAATATTTGTTTCTAGTCCGGATGTTTGTCTATGCAATTTATGTATGGAAAATACCTCCATGATACAACAGAATAAAGACTAGCGAATTTCTTAGCTATCACTTGTATATAAACTACAAATATCTTAACGATCGTCAAAAATTGAACCTATCGCTAGTGTCCTTTAAGGTGTACAATACATTCCAAATATAGCACACCACCTGTTCAGTGTCATCTAAATACATACTTGTTGAACGTGTTGTGCAAGTTATGAGCCGGCTGCGAAAGGTCTATGTTGATTGGTCTTGACGTCACGTGCCCCGACGGCCGATCGGAGGCATCTGAGCTCGGACCCACCTCCAAGTCTTCAAGCTGGAAATTGGTACATTGTTATTATTTAGTCTCTTGACAGTAGCTTAACGGTTTTGGGCATGGAAAGCGAAACTGAACACTATAGAATCATATACCTTATCTGACTAATTCTAAACTATATCTCAAGAGGTTAACGGGAAAATACAAACGAAAAAAAAAAGTAAATTTTCCTGATCAATATTCTCGCATATGCCACTAAATAACACCGAATCATACCGTAAGGGCTCTTGTACACGCTAAGAAATTTTACCGTGTCTACGGCATATACGAGTAAGACCAATTCATCATGTATACGACAAGAATTTTGTCGGATCAAGCTACGAAAATTTGTCGTGTTTGCTTCAGACAAGATAAATAGAGACGTGTGAACGATAAGATTGTTTTCGATCAGTCGTGCGACGGGTATGGTGCACTAGTTAAGTTTGTTTATAATGAAAAGATTCATGTTAAGTACGAAGCAATAAAAATAATTATTGCATATTATATATATATATAAATGAAAATACGTAAACCCATACACGCATATACAAAAGTACTCAAATTATCTGCAGCAACCCACCTACTCCGCCCCTCCCTTCACCGCAACATCACAAATCTCGTCTTGTCTAGCGCAGACAAGATTTTTTATTTAAAGATATTAATAGTCACTTTGCAACCATCCGCTCAATTAAATAAAATGATGTGTCTTAAGAGGATAGAGTAAGTCAGCTCAAATTCTAATTTCGCTCCCACTTCCCCGCGCGTCGTATGCTATGTACCGATATGTTTGTAATCACTAATACTGTAAGTAGAAAGGTCGTTAGACACTTATTTCATTAGGTTTATCATATTTATGCCTGTTTCTTAACGCCAAGCCAGCCGCTTCTTATTTTTATCACGGTTATTTCCCATTTTAATTTTACGTCGTACTGTTGCGTAATGTATATTCTGATCGTAAGCGACACAACTTCTCCCTTCAAAAGCCTAAGCGATACTAACGGGGCGACAGGAATCAAGCTTCAAGACGCCGATAGTTTAGGTAATTTCTTTTTACAGTGAAAATAATGGTATTTAAAAAAAAGTAAATAACATAATCACTGCTTTATAGTTAGTTCAGTTAGTATGCAAAGTTTCATGATCTTATTTAAAGTATTTTATGAATAACAGCGGTTTATTGTTTATTTTGGAGGTAACTTTGGATTTTTTTTCTATCGAGAAAATTTTACGAAATCGTGTTTTCGTCTAACATAATCATTAACATTAATCCTCAACTTTACCATATATTTATTTCAAAATTAATGCTGCAATATTTTCGGCATAACGAAGGATCTTGCTAAGCCATTTGACATTATATTTCCCCTTAACTAGTTTGAAGAGCACCTCCCGCCCTCCCTTAATTGCGTGCACTAAACCCGTCACCACTAATCCCAGCACCACTACTCCCAACACCAACCACAAGACACACCATCGACGATAATACGACACGTGTTTCGCCTCTACGCGTGTTGTATTATTGTCGATGGTGTGTCTTTCCTAGAATAGTGGTGTTGGGAGTAGTGACGCTGGGATTAGTGGTGACGGGATTAGTGCACTCAATTGAGGGAGGGCGGGAGGTGCTCTTCAAACTAGGTAGGACACATCATTTTCTTTAATTGAGCGGATGGTTGCAAAGTAACTATTAATATCTTTATTATAATGAATAGGTGAATTTATCGAGGAGTTGTAAGGTTAAAACAAAATTCTTGCATCTTTTTAGCGTGTACAAAAGCCCTAAGTGTCGTAAGAGGCGATAAAGGGAAATGAAACAGGAGATTGGAAGCAGCATCATCCTGATAAGGGACTCAAAGTAATTAAAAACTGCGGTTGCCAGCCTGGCGAATATATCAAACATGAGACTATTATAAATGAATTCGCGCATTTTAGTGAATACTAAGATAGCATTTAATCAGTCATTTTAATTCCATTTCAAAGCAATGCACACTTCAAGACTTCAAGACTTTTAGACCGTTCATAAAAACTGAAGGTAGCCTGAGTTAAATATATCAGGATGTTGAATTTGAATACACCTCAGACCCCCTGAAAATACGAGCTGTTGTTAAAACGTTGGGATTTCATAAGAATTAATAAACAAAATTTTCATAAGAATTAAAACAAACGCGATAAAAGCCGTAATTTTTAAAGAGTTATTTTTGTGTTACAGCAATTAGTGTGAGAGGAAATCATGTTTTCGGGTTTGATTGTGTGGTGACTGGTTCCATGTCCCGGTCGTCTCGCCTGTCCCATATCAAAGCCCAGTAAGTGATATTTAAAAAAATACGTTTCAAAATGTTAATCTTACATAGTAATACTCTACAGAAAGTTGAAAAAACTTGCAATAAATCCTAAACAATAACCTTTTATTAGTAAATTAAGTAAAATTTATCAAGAACTACTTCGAATTATATTTTTTTGTTCTCCTGTAAAACTAAGTTAAAGTGTTTACTTGGTTTTGAAATAGTCCTTACTCGGTTTTAAAAATGGCACAGCCGATCAGATCTTATCACAAAATCATGATTACATATATTATATACACTTTATAACATTTCATCGTATTGTGTTCACATATCGGTAAAGTTGCTATATTTGTCGAACAGTCCATTCATAATTTGAATCGTAAGCGAATGGAATGCATTCATCATTGAATCCTTTTAAATTGTGTTATCCGTTCGCCCTTTTAAGTACATACCGAAAACCAACAAGCGGGTCGAAATGCATTTTCGCTCGTGAAATTACACGTATTTCTCACCACTGTAATTTGCCGCATTCTGTGAGTGATGTGTAACGACTCAAATAATAATTTATCTCATTCCTTTGATCTTCATTGAGTGTGGACGATGCGTTAGTAATATCAGCGAGTACATTATAACCGTGATAGCTCAAGAGCTAAGCACCCCAGCAACCCCGGTTTGACTAAGTCTACACCAATGAAATTGTTAACTGGAACTGAAAGTGCTGATCTACGTCGTGGTAAGCGGTGAAGGAAACCATCATAAGACAACCTACACGTCAAAATAATTAAAAAATTATTTAAATTAAGACATGTGGAGTCCTCCATCGTCCACTGTGGCAGCACGTCGGACATTTATCTCTCCTAAGACTAACACCATCTCAGAACTGAGGCCTGTGTTGTACTTTACTTACCGTTGCAGCCTAAAGCCCACTGCTAGACATAGCCCTCCCCCATAGATTGCCTCTTAGGGGAGATATTTGCCATAGTTGCCACGCTTGGCAAGCGGATTGGCAACCGCAGCTTTTATTTTTTTAGTTGTTGTGGTATTAGAAAGACTGCTGCCCATCTCCTGATTTGTTTCCCTCTGTCGTCTTTTACGACACCCACTATTTGTTTCCCCGACGCCGAAACGCCATACTTGAACGGCGAATCAGCAAAACGTAATAACTTTACCAATGTCAAGTGATTAAATTATCTATCAAAATAATACGTAAGCTGTCAACGTTTGATTTCCCTTCAAGATCTATTTTCACTCCGACTCATGCATTCCCATTCTGACGCAACACGGATAGGTGATAATAATATATAACTATTTAGATGAGTGGGTAACTATTTATGTGTGTTAATGGTCCTCATAATTTATTTACAAACACTTCACTTCCGTAACATGGGTAAGATTTTTACCTATGTCATGACTTTTTATACTTATTGATTCTATTAATACTTGTTTTGTAAAAATAGAAGTACTAGTGTAAAGACGCTTATTTTAAAAATACAAACCAACATAAAAATAACCTTAAAAATACATTCGAATTGCGAACCTTCTTCTTTTTGTAAATAAGTTAAAAATAAATGCAAAAAACTATTTAAAACGTGTTTTAAGGAGCACAGACATACGTTTCGTTAAACGAAAGTCGATCAACATGTCCGAGGCACCCCAAAATATCTATTGCGATAGTTCAGTTAAAAAGATTACGTGATCTAGACTTTTAGAAATATTAGTTACAAAAGCAAACGATATTCAATATCGGTACAGTACCTACTTTGAGTAGTGACTACGGATACGCGAGATAGATCTCGTTACTGAGGTCACTTTCATTACCGCAATCGAAACCACCAAAACGTCTATTTGTATATTTCTGTTTTATACGTGTCATACACAAAGTTCAAAAATGTTATTAAACTAAGTTTGTATAAAAATGGTTATTATAATATTAAGGAATTTATGGATGATAATAACCCCTGGGAAGGGTGATCGCTACCAAGCTATTTCTAATTTGTCTTGTGTTGTAATTGTAAACATGACTGTAAGCTATTATTGGAAAAAATAGTCCCGCTGGGTTTCTTGCTGGTTCTTCCCAGGACAGAGGTGTTTTTGCGAACCAGTGGTAAATGAAAAAAGTGACTTTCAATAAGTATTGTTATAATCTACATTGAATAAAAAAGTTCCTGATTCTGTTTCTGTTTCTATAATTGCATATTTTCTTTCAACTAAAATTGCTTTTTATGGATCTTTTAGACATTTTATATTTCATTATGCTTGCTACTGCTACTTTTTAACTAATAATCTTAACATATAAAAAATAATATTTGTTTGTTATTATTTTGTGCGCTGCCATACCGTGAAACTTATTATAAGATTTCCCAACATAGTTACCAGAGGCAGTGTAGCCGTTTCAGCGCATTTGGCGCTAGATCTGGTGCATTTTCTAGGGTCTATAGCCCTTTTTTTAAATATCTACGTGCTAAAAATATCTAGTAAACTAGAAAAATAGATATTTTTATAAATATAATTGCACTACATCCAGCGTGAAATGCGCTAAAACGGCAACTCTGCCCAGACGTAATATTGCACCGAACTCCCGTTTTATATCAGGAATGAATGGAATGTGTCTTATGTCTTTAAACTAAAATTAGGGTTACCAGCTCTCAAAGAAAATGTACTGTAACCGGCTCCAAACAAACATCGAAAATCTAATAGCCACAAATCAGTGATAAGCGTATAAATAATCGTTTCATTCATCATATAGAAAGTAAACTACTCAAAACAAAATAAGGCCCACTCTAAGTTAATCTCGAATTTCGTGTAAAAAAAATTGCTGGGTAGTAGAATAGTGAAGTTGAAGAAAACATTTCGAAGTATTGTTGACATGTTTATCTAACGTTGTCAATGTTTCAAGTCAGGAATTCAATGGTAGATAGACAAAAAAAAAATGAAGTACTCCAAAAAACGTTATTACTCAAATTCTCAGTCACATTTACCCTCAGTCACATTCTGAATGTTGCAGTCGCACGTCTACTTTTTTCATTTTGACTTGATTTCGGTGTTACTCGCGATCATTACGCCTGGTTCTCGGCGTCATATGGATGTGGAAACAACAACAAGAGCAGTGTTTACGCTTCAGGAAGGAGAATCTCAGAGATCAGAGGCAAGACGTCTTGGTGTATCGCGACGAGCTATTCGAAACGCGTGGGAACGCTTTCTAGAGACAGGTAGTGTTGCGAGGAGATCTGGATCAGGAAGAGCGCGAGCTACAACCGTCCAGGAAGATCGGTATATCAGGTTGACTGCGTCGAGAGCGTACGACTCCCGCCCGCTCGAGTAAGGATTCAAATGCAGATGCGTTGTTATCCTTTGAACTAAGATAGATTGCCTCGTTTCCAGTAAAAAGAAACACGCATAGAGTAGCTATTTTATGCTAGTATTCTGTGAGATCGGTCTTACAAAATCGACTGCGGCAATCGACTGGCACACGAATTAGTGATCAAACCATTCGAAATCGGCTCCATGAAGACGGACAACGTTCCAGATCTCGTGTTATTTGTCTAAAATTGACAAGAGCGCATCGTGCAGCACGTTTGAGGTTTGCTCGCGAGCATGCAGAGTGGACAATGGACAACTGGAGATGTGTACTCTTTACGGACGAAAGTAAAGTGAAGTTCTTCAGCGATGATCGTCGAGTGCGCGTGTGGAGAAGAGAAGGAGAACGTTTTTCAGAACCTTGCATACATGAAACGGATTGTTTTGGAGGTCCAAATGTTATGGTGTGGGCTGGAACAAGCTTGCTTGGTAAAACTGAGCTGGTAATTCTGGAAGAAGGCTCCATAACTGCCTCCCGGTATGTCGATCGAATAATTCGGCCCCATGTCATTCCATTTTCACAAAGAGTGGGTGAAAACTTCGTCTTTATGCAAGACAATGCTCGCCCACATACAGCGCGAACAACCCAGAGAGCTTTCTCTGAAGCCAATATTATGGTTTTACCGTGGCCGGTCATGAGTCCCGATCTTAACCCAATTGAACATTTATGGGACCAATTGAAAAGAAGCCTCAAATCGAACTTCAGTAATGTGACTAATCGACAAGAGCTCATAAAAGCTCTAAAATTGTGTTGTGTGAATACCCGAGGAAAACATCACCCACTTGATTGAAAGTGCCCCAGATAGATTTAGAGAGTGCATACGGAACAGAGGAGGACCTACTCGCTATTAAGCACCATCAATCTAATTGATTTAGTCAATAATAAAAATCAAAATCAAACTTTACTTAAATCAATAATTTCTGTAAACTTTCCTAAAAACTGTAAATGTTGACTAAATTCCATAAAATTGGCAAAACTTACTCTTGTTAATGTTCACACACTTTCAAAAACCTTAATTTATTCATTCCAAATCATAAAGACTGAAAAAAGAAAAAGAATCTGTAAAATTCATTTATAAAACATGGTGGGCCCTATTTTGTTTTGAGTAGTTTACTTTTGTTAGCTTATTTAATCGTCATGCCTTTTCGAAAGAGATTTTTAAAGTAGGTAAGTAAACTACAGTGAAATAATTTATTCGAAAAAGAAATTAATACATTTAAAATATCAGAAACTATAAATTATTTCTGCATAAATGTGTTGTTGGTGAAGACTTAACTCTTGTAATAATTCTTGTCCCAGGGACTACCTACTCTCAGTTAGTGAATAGGGGAATTCCAATGTATCCAATTTTTCATAACACATGCAAATACTTCAATTACGAAGGCAAACAATAAAAAATTATCAAAGATGACAAACGTAAACTATAAAATACAAAGAGATCAAAGACTGAGTTCATTATCAGCTAATACAATGGGTAATGCTTGACTTTTGCACGACGCGTTCAATTAGTTTAACTTCTTTAAGTTTCATATTTCTGATAACGTATTAATGTCTTGGAAGAATCCATTACCTACCATATTATTAACTTACTGAAGCTATGTAACAGTGAGAAAAAAAAGCAATAATAATTTAACTGAATTAATTTTCAATGGGTGCAGGTGTTTTAGGTCCTTGCATTGTTCTTCGTGGCATTCCTTGAGGAAGGTCTTTATTCCGCAGTGGACTTGTGATGGGTTGTAATGATGATGATGATCAAGCTTTACAACATAGACATACAATCATTGCCACCATAGACTAAAATAAAACTACAATCATCTATTTTTTAATTTAGGTCTGTGTCGTGGAAATTTACTACAAAGGATTCTTTTCTATGGGTTCACTGATATCATATCCACTATCTAAAAATACATCATCACACTTACATCATTTCCCAATTTGAATTACACACAATCGCCACGCTTGGTAGGCGAATTGGCGAATCGCGATTTCAAACGTCTCGAACTTTTGGCACTGCTCCCCCCCATCTCCGTGCTCCTTTTTTACGTCTGCCGTAAACAATAATGTCCACTTTACCGTATATCGGTCACCGCGGCAAGCTTCAAGGGGATCTGCGCAAGACACGATCATAGTGCACGAGGGTGTGCACAAACACAGGTGCTCTCTCTACTCCTCACTCTCATAGTGTGATGGGACGGAAACCCGACACGACCGGAGAGGTCGGACGCATGATCAACAGGCTATACGTGTTCTCTGAGGCATGGGGATGAATAAAGCTCAAGTTTCTCGAATCTGGGTTGCTACTGGGAGTTTCTTGACAGAAAGACCTAGTAACTTATTTTGTCTTGACACGGGATAGGAGAGGCGTAAACGTAATGTTTATGTCGCCATTATTATCATTCACAGTCACGCTGGCCTGCTGATCCCCCACAGATTGTCTTATAGAGAAAATATTTGAAGCAATTGCACGTAGGCAACCGCCGTTATTTTTTTGATTTGTGATCAGGAATGTGCTGCTACCCATCTCATGTTTTAAATTACATCTTTTGCCTCTTAGGACACTCATGGTACGATATGGGATAGTGGATTCCTTTATGCCGTCACTACACGGCGACCATACAACAGTAAAAGCTTAATCAACCTAATAAAATAATAATAATTACCTGAGGATCATCTTCTTGCACGAGACTCCTCCTCTTCATTGCATATTCTTTAACAGCACTGCTATTCTCTGTATTGGTATCTACATTGAAAGTCTTTAGCCTCAACATTGGACTAATTGGTCCCAACGGATTTGTATACTTGTTGTACGTCAGGTATTTGTTGGCAGACTGGTTGTGAGACGAGTTAAGCGTCAAGGAAGGCGGATTGGAGGTAACCTCCACGATGCTCTGGATGCTCGGTCTTTGAAAGCGCTTCTTTGGCTTGACATACGTCCTGGAGTCGAATTTATGCTTATCCGGCAACGTGACGTCATCTGAAACAATTATTTTTTCTTTAATTATTCTGAAACAATTTGGCGCCTAAATTTAAAATTACGAATCTTCCGTAGAAATCAAACAATAAAAATACTTTAGCGTTAATACTACAGATAAGGTTCCAGTCTAAATATACGTCCCAAGGCTGCGCACAGGCCTCCTTCACTTCTGAGAGGGTTTTTAGGGCAAGGAAATGTCAGCCACTACGTGTTAGCGAATTTCACGTCTAGGTTTTTTTTTTCTAAGACATACAGGTTTCCCCACGATGTCTTTCTTCACCACGTTGTAAGTAAGCACTATAATAAATTGCAATCAACAATTTCATACGAGTCAGCGGGAATAGAACCCGGGTTGCTCGCGTACTGTGAAATTTACAGTAAACTTGTAGACCTTGGGCTACCACGTCAGATTTGATAATATAAGTATGTACCTATATTAAAATAAATAATCATAATCGGAATTTGTTTCTTCTTCTTTTTAATTATTGAGGAGTTACACTTAGGGTATCTGATGACGTACAGGAAGTCGAATATAGCAAATGAACCGATGCCGTGTTTTGTGGCAGACTAGCAGTCGTAGCAGACTAATATTGGACTTCTGAATATAATTTATGCGAAAAACACAGCTGTGTTAATAACTTTGTTACAAAAATATGTATTAAATGATTTAATTATACCTTTACATCATGCACAACAATAACGTTATTTAACGGTTTTTTTAACATCTTGCAACAAAATTTCACACTATATCCAGGCACAATTAATATTTACTATTATATATATTCAAATTTATAATAATATTTAAATTTATAATAATACTATTACCTGGCCCCGATAGCGCCCGATTCGCTTTGCTTGAATCAAGCTTTACTAATGTTAAAAAAAGTACCCTATTGTCGTTTTTACCCTTTATTATTACTCGACCGCTATGGCCTTCGATCAACAAGATCGATGGCTATGGCTTTCTTCAGACACCGTCCATAGCGTGATCGACGGACAGACATCCAAACAAATATAATATAAGTGTAATGAATGATGATACAGTTCGTCTCTGCACAATAGCCTGTTGTAAAGTTTTGTTTCAATCTAAAAGGAACAGGGGTGAATAAACCCATTCAGTTGGAAACAAAATCTTGGGACACCTTAAACTTATACTTATCGAAGAAACTACTGATAAAAAAGTACTTTAAATAGTTTAAAATGTCGCTTTAGTAATCAATTTTAATGTGTAACGTATTGTGCTCTATCAGCGAAGTTCGTTTTTTAAACTTGTTTTTTTTTTTCGCAACATAAATCTAAATAAATATGAAATTGTCTGACCACACATATCATTACATCTACAAATAATTTTTTATCATCGTAGGATGTTCTTCTTTGAGATTTGAATGAACAAAACATAGATATGCATGTGCATATGGCATAGCTTAGTGTATTATATAAGAAACTAAGAACATCCAATACACTATCACGTCTAGTTAGTGTTATCAAAATCCGAAGATTCTTCGTTTCCAACCAATAAATCAAGACGTGGTAAACAAATGCGCGGCTATAAATACGTAGTACTATTATCTATTCTGTGCTATAAACGAGAGCCGTGGTAGCTCAGATGGTTAACGCTCGCTGTAAATATGACAGACCGCGAGTAAACCGGTTGCGATCCCCGCCGGCACCAATGAAATTGTTAATTGCAATTTTAAGTGCTGATTTACCACGTGCTCGGCGGTGAAGGAAACATCGTGAGGAAACCTGCATGTCTGAGAAATAAGAAAAAAAATTCCGGAGACATGTGAAGTTAAAGCCAACACGCATTGTGGCAGCGCGGCGGACACTTCCTTGCCCTAAAACCCTCTCAGAAATGAGGGGAGGCCTGTGCCCAGCAGTGGGACGTATATAGGCTGTAACTTTACTTTTACTATAAACGAAGATTGATTCAAAACTATTGAAATAATCAAGGAACAATCTACAATGCATGGTTAATCTAAAGACGACTGTTAAACGTTTAGTATAACAGAAACCGGACGGAACTCCTTATTCAGCGACCAGTTGTTAGACGTAGGTACACATAAAGTGAGCCATCAATAGGGTGCATCGATGTAAAAGTGAAAGCAATAAACGAACAAGTTTCGAATGCTGATACAAGCGTAGGTGTGAGTTAGTCCACTGATCGAGTAAGTGCGAGCGTTGGCACAGATACAACACTTAGTGTGAGACACGCTTTGCCAATCTAAAATATAGCAGTTCACATTAGATTAGTAGTTGATGACGTCACTGTATGCCACAAATGACGTTCGTTGTCGATTTTGAAGACAGTTATAACGTTACGTTATAGTGCCGTTAGTTTACGCACAAACTGGTACCGCGGTGTTCATACAGATCGATGATCGAAAAAAGATGCGATAGCTATTTACTGCGATCAGATAATCCACCAGCCAAGCGGGGCGGTAAATCTAGCATTTTACGGGAGAGTTCTGATGCCAGCTGTCGATGGTTCATGGCGAACGAGAAGGATTATTTTATAATATAATTTCGTAAGCATCTGACTTGTGCATAGAGAATATATTCACGTATAAGTGGTTATATAGGTCTCTGGACCTGTGTTTATGTTTGCGTATCTAATTTCGATGATACTTCAAGGTTGTCATTATGTATATAAGTTGTTTAAAATCTAAAGTAAACTCAAACTCATGAAGTAATATTGCATCATACAAATAATCCAACAAACAGTATAATACTGTTTTGTTACGTTAAGTCATTAATGTGGAATTCTCTCAAATATTCGCTTGGACTAGTCTACAAACGAAGTAACGATGGATCGATACGCCAATCAGTTAAGTTATCAGGGTATCAATAAAACCTCTAAAACATAAACTGGGAATCAAATAGAATTGTGAACCATCTAGTTCTTGGCCGCATTAAAACTAACGGAACATCTTTAAAAATAGATAGCTGGCCGGCTGCAGAGTTAAGCTTGTCGTCGAAACTAGTTTGATGCTGCATATAGTCAGACAGGCCACCTGTAAATGTCCGGAAGATGTGGCACATTCGAGATGCAAAAAGTTTAGCATGCAAACTAGATAAAAAAGGTCGCAGTAATCTTGCCGGTTTTACTCATGTTAGATTTTGTGATTAGCATTTTAGAATTTTTAGAATTTGTATAAGTACTACCTATATATCTATACCATAGTTGTGTTTACTATGAAATATTAATTCTTATTACGATTGTACCGGAAAGAATGAAATGATGTTAACCAGTGTCATTTTTAAGTGAATGATTTTGCTAAATCAACAACTACTACACGAAAAAGTAAACATTTATATCACATCTTTAAATATTTTTGATTTTTATAAATAACTAACTGGTATGCAGCGCGTTGCAGCCGCAGAAGAAATAATTGTGCAAGTATCGTTTTAAATCTGAAAAAGTTAATGGTTATTGTTTCATTAGGAATGGTGATACATTGTAGATTTTACGTGTTAAGCCACGCTGCAGCTATACTATGGTTGTAGCACGAATGGGTCGGCTCAAACGGGGAAGGACCATGCTCTCACAGAATGCCAGCGTAAAACAGCAGCTTAATATTAATACTGCTGTTTCGTATGGTGAGAATAGAGATCCGGAGACTCTTTTTTACTGAAAACGAGGCATGCCATCTTAGTCTTAAGGGTTGACAACGCATATGCGTTTTGATTCTTAATCGAGAATAAATGTAGATGTCTAATGGGCCACAGCATTCACTTACCATCAGGTGGACTGTGTGCTCGTTTGTCACCCTTTTTCTATAAAAAATACATTCCTTGGAGTTGAATGATATATATAACTTTCAAATAAATTTGTCGGCACTATACGAGCGCTACCTATTGTAAGTTAATTGTACTGTGCCTATAACCTTCGCGCAGGTGCAAGCAATAAGTTGACAAAGTTTTACCGCAATCTGATGAACGGTATGGCAGCGCACGAACAAAGAAATGTACATTTTTATATAATATTAGACAGTATTTTTCATCGAGTTCAATAAAAACGAGGAAATTCTATATTCGACGCGTATTTTATTATGTGTGTATTATGTATGTTCACTAATTTTTCGGAAACAATTGGATAATGATGTAGATATCAAAAGAAGATAAAGCACACTTAGTTTAACAAAACCATGTAAATGTAATATGCTTGCTTTGAATTTTGATATCCAAGGAGCAATCGGATGAACAGACACTTGCAAATTGTTCGCTACTACTTTGTCGTAAGCTTTTTTTTTTTCTTTTTAATAACGTGCAATAACTTTGTGAAGGATGAAGCAAGCCATTTGGTTTCATTACGTGGCATGACGTTAACAAAAGGCTGGAAACACACAAAGCATCTGGTTGTTCGATGATGTCCCTTATCATTTCCCTTGGTCGATTTTTACGACAACTATAGAATGAAACTGAGTAATAAATGATTTAGAACATTTTTTCTACAAGGTGACAAACAGTCAACCTGAGGAAATGCCATGATCAATAGACACCCACGTTTATGACCGATTAAGAATCAAAATGCAGATCGGGTATCACAATCGAGAACTAAGATTCAATACTTTGTCTCTAACAAAAAAAGATCTCCGCTCCTCTATAGCCATCATACAACAGCTGAAATGCTAGTATCTATAGGAAATAATCCTACGCCGGTCGAGTCGACTCACTCGTGTTGTTGCCATAATACAACTGCAGTTGGGCTCTATCACGTGGAAACAAGTCAATAAACAGTTTTGGAAATTTGATGAGAACATCCTTCAGACCGGAACACACTGCACGCACTGCTATTTTGCGGCAGAAATAATTGATTGTTTATAATTTCAAAACTTTAAACAAACTATTAAAAATTTTGAAAGTTCGGAAACAGCATAAATTTTTATGAGGTACTCGTAAATAGATGATAAACAATGTAATAGATCATAAAATATAAAACTGACTATTTTAATGTACTACTAATATGTTGATGTATACATAGTTGTATAGTTGTAGGCTATAAAGTCAATTGAAGTATAATCTACGAGCTGCGGCTTATCTATTCAATAATCGAGAATTAGCCTGTTTAAGTACAAAAACATGTTCGATTCCGTTAGAAACAAGAATTTTTAGTTATAATTGTCTTTGTATAATTAAAAAGCAGGGTAAAAATAAAAGTTCTGTTAATCGTAATAAATAAATTAATCGATTAAAAAAAGAAGACCGTTCTCATCATCAACATTAGGTACAGTCTATAAAAAGTTCATGGTCCTGTCCCATCGATTGCATTATAAGGAGGATTTCGAGTTGCCGCGTTTAAAAGGCGGGTTAGTAGCAACCTTATGTGTTTTCAATATTTTTTTTAAAAGAATGAGTGTGACAAACGAGCACACAGTCCACCTAATGGTAAGTGGACACTGTGGCCAATAAACATTTACACTAATCCTCGGTTAGGAATCAAAATGTAGATGCGTTGTCAAATCTGAGGACTTGCCTCGTTTCCAGTAAAAAAGGTCTCCGGTTCTCCACATTCACCATACGAAACACAACAGCATTGAGGTGCGTTTTCCACTGGTGTTCTGTGAGAGCGTTGTCCTTTCCGACCTATTCGTACTACAACATAGTTACAGAATGGCTCGACGAAGCTCGACGACGAGGAAGGTACTGCTACCCAACTCCCGTTACAGTTTTACTCTGTCACCTTTTAGGACACCCCCATGATGATGTGGAGTATATTATATGGTAAGATCGTTATCAATTCTAAATATCTTTTTTATACGTAATACGATATCGATATTAGTTTGTGTGTTGTGTGTTTTATTATTTTATATCACATGGAATCTCATCGTTTCCTTGTTGTGAAAAGTGACACTGTGGTACTCGTAAATATCCGCGTCACGCGCGTTACCTAGTTCTTTAATTTTTATAACCTTACCGATTGCCCTTTTGAACTAATGGTGAAATGCTCGTATTTTCCAGAGTTTGACAAACGAACACACAGTCGACCTAATGGTAAGTGGATGGTGTGGCCTATAGAAATCTATCACCTCCGGGGACTAAGATGGAATGCTTCGTTTTCAGTAAAAAGGGTCTCCGCTTCTCTACACTCACCATACTAAACACAGCGACGTTAAACTGTTGTTTAACACGTTTTTATTAGCTTCGCGTGTATCTATTTATCTAACGGAATATTTTAATGTTATTTGCACCAAGTTGTAGACGGCCGATAGACTTGAAAATTTGATCGATGACAACAATAATATAATAACTGTCGCAGTATCCTGACCAGGATCACCAAGATAAAATAAATTATTTATCTTGATCATCACAGTCACGATCAATGCGTGTTACGTCTTTTTAGGGTTCCGTAGTCAACTAGGAACCCTTATAGTTTCGCCATGTCTGTCTGTCCGTCTGTCCGTCCTCGCTTAATCTCTGTGACTGTTAGCACTAGAAAGCTGAAATTTGGTACCAATATGTGTATCAATCACGCCGACAAAGTGCTAAAATAAAAATTGTTTTAGCACTTTGTTGGAAAAAAATGTTTTATTAGGGTAGCCCCCCTGTATGTAAAGTGGGAAGTGATTTTTGTTAATTTCAACCCTAACGTGTGATATATTGTTGGAAAGGTATTTAAAAATGAATAGGGGTTTACTAAAATCATTTTTTAATAATGTCAATAATTTCGGAAATAATCGCTCCAAAAGTAAAAAACAATGTGTCCCCCCCCTCTAACTTTTGAACCATAAGTTTAGAAAATATGAAAAAAATCTGAAAAGTAGAACTTTATAAGGACTTTCTAGGAAAATCATTTTGAACTTGAATGGAAACAACAGTACCCACTACCGGGAGCAGTTATAGGAGCGCGGAGCGCTGCTGGAGCGCGAACATAATGGATACCCACCTTTAAACTCATAAGTGGGAACACTTATTGTGACGGACGGGAAACTACGGAACCCTACACTGAGCGTGGCTCGACACGCTCTTGGCCGGTTTTTAATTATTATATTATTTACGCAGATATTCTTTGAAAGCGTGGTTCGTCACCGGTCGAGCCGACCCATTCGTGTTACAACCATAATATAGGTGGTGTTTACGTGCAGCCTGGCTCTACCAGGTATGAAAGTTATAAAATATATTGATATATAAAATACAAATTCGTTAAGACGCAACAGTGGGCACTACCTGCCATAAGACAGACGTTAATGTATAATAATAAACTTCATCCACTGTTAGTGTCATTATGCTATATTTACTCAAGTGCATCAGACGAGACAAGAAGCGGGTGATATTATTACATCGCATTATTCAATATCCTCTCAACTATCGTAACGTATATTAAACGATGACTTTACAACTCATTAGCGTCGGAACGTTATTAACTGTTTATTACCACCGAGATAATGTTTGCTTGCGATATATTCAAATTAGGATGAAGTAGTATTAAGCTATAATAACATACATCAAAACTCATTTAGAAATTACACGTTATATATTTCGTGTTATTCTCG